TGTTTGTAGCAAGATTCAATCGAACGCGTATAAAACAGCACTCAACCGACTATTATTTCGCGATCTAAGTCGATTGGCTAACAATGGCAAAGACGTTCTGATACGTTACAAAAAGTATAAGCTTCCTCTTTGCAATATTTTGTTGTAACGTAGCAAGGGAGCACCTAGAGTTATTTTCAGACTTACACAGAATCTTCCAAATTTAATCTGCCTTCTTTCGCATTGCAGGTCTGAGGAAACGTTTCTAGTCTTAACATCGAATATGCCTTCAATCGTGCTCTTCTTGTTTTTATTCGGAGCCTATAGTACTGTGCTTTCTTCAACATAAATTCTTTTACTCTCTCGTTTTTGTTAAATGTAACAAATCAATTCTAGGTTCTTACTGTCTCCCTTTTCGACGGATATTTTATTTCAATCACATGGGTTCGCCCGTGTATACATGCCTATTGCTTGCCTCGCGCTAGTTAAAATGCTAAATTAATTTTTCAATACTATGAAATCAGTTTTTAAATTATCTGGTTTATTTTTGTGATTGCGAAATTAAGTTTTAATTTTTTAGTGTTTTTTTCCGGTCCTCATATTTCACAATATAGTGCGATCCAAACAACTGAATTGTCATATTATATATGAAAAACCGAGACAAAATAATAATAATGATAGTACAAAACACCTTTTAGTAAAAAGTTTACTGTTGTTATCATTTTTACTGGCTTTCAGCATGATTATCTTCAACCTCCTCCATACATTCCACCGATCGAATTTGGGAGAGAAGTAGAGGACGGCGACCTTATAATGGTAGAGTGTCTATGTATATTCATTTACTTATAAAAGGATTACTGCATTAATTTGTAACGGTAATTATCATCCAAACTGCCCTTCACTCATGGAAGTAACGTTTTCAGAGGGTCTCCCTTAGCCTGAAAACGGCTAAAAAAGTTAGGGTAAAAATTAACAAATTTATATCGTCAGTTGCATAAAAAGAGTCAACCGTAAAAATTTTCTTTTAAACGTAACGGAAGGAAATTGATTGATAGCCGTGAAATGGCTAGAATGTTAACCGTTATCCGTAAAAGGCATCATGATCACTAAACTGAGACCCTCGTTTCAACAAGGAAGCCAGTGATATCTGGGGTTACCTTCAAATTCGGTTAGCAGTATTTTTCACATAAATATGATATTTCAATCATTTTTTTTTTTGATAATTTTGAAAACGTTATTCATAAGCTAAATCGGAAATTTCTACGTTTCAGAAAAAGCTACGGTTATGATGAAGGCTCTGACTAGAAATAGAAGTACTCGCGTGAGGAATGTTACGGAGGATCTGACGAGAGGAGAACGACAAAAACTGTTGTTTTTGTTCCTTAAGGAACATCTTGATTTCAAATTATTGTTATAAAATAAATTAAACGTTATATTTTAGTTTGTTGCATTATTATTGATTTACTCAAACCTAGCTACTCAACAAAGGTCTCGTCTGTGTCTCGAAAATAAACTTCAACAAACAGGTCTGACAGCAAAAATCGACGTAATGGCTGATTTAATAGGTTGAGGAAGTTTCGGAGTGGATTAGTTTGTTTTTCTTGTAATAGTACTAACTTATCAGTTTTTTTTACAAGACTTGAACAATAGACTGCAAAATACCTCTTTATTTACCTTTGATGACAAAATCCGGTCAGTCATTGTCACCTACAACTCATTCGTTTTCAAGAATTACCCTCACCCAGACGCACACACTACAACAACAGAAAAATCCCTTAAGTCACCCTCTCGAATTTCCCGCTTCCTTTGAGAAATTCGGCGTGTGGAATTAACCATTGATGGACACACAGTTTCTCAATGGAAGAGTTTCTTCGGCCATCAGAAATCATGATCATTCAAATGATTTTGAAAGTCTTCGTTTAAGCAGAAATTATAGGTAATGTTGAGAGTCTTTGGTCAGAATTAGAAATGTCATTTGACGGCGGATAAACTTCTTTCTCTAAATACCGGTAGATTGACATCCCAATTTTATCTATCGGACATTGTTTGACTTCTGTTGAAATCGGAAACCAACTCCTTTACGGCTATTCAGTTATACATGTAACTGATGCTCCAGTAATATCGGTGTTGGAGAATAACAGACTTAGCACACTTGGATAGAGCTTTCAGACCTCAGTTTATCACATTGATATTATGCACGTATATATAAATAAAACCATAACGTGTCGATAAATAACGACGGTCTCAATGGGGTTAACCGTAAAACCGTTAACGAAAAACTATAACCGTTAAAATATTTTCTTTATAGAGTGCGCCATTTTTTTTGAGTCATGAAACTCTCACTAAACGTTAGCGGCAAAATGGCTTAAATCTTAACCCTTAGGGGTAAATTCATCACCCCATTGAAAACCTCTTTTACATGCCTTCAAGCGAAAACGGTATTCAGTCAGACATGCTTCAGGTTTATATATTCAAAGAGATGAGACGATACAGATTTGTTTAGATCGTTACTATCATTGATAGAGGCTGTATCTTTGCCATCTCCGAGTTGAAGTAGCTTATGTCCTATAACAAAGTCTTGCATGCTTTCCTTCTGTTAATGCAACAGTTTAAACCTGATATTTTTTGCAACTAATTGCAAATCAGTCACTCAAGTTATGCTAGATATAGTCGTTTGTTTCTTTCGATAGCACATCTATAAACCATCAACAAATTTATACAAACCAACTTGGAGAAAATATAGACGAAGCTGCCATTTCCCTATTAAAGATCTTTGGAAACCCTAATATTGTTCGTTAGTTGTCCCATCTTAACACTTTTTGTATTTGCTAATGACAGGATATTCAGACAAACGGGTGCTCGAGAATGTCAGAGTAACGAAATCGGCACTAAATTTCATGCTTGAGTGATAGTTTAAGACGTGGACTTTCAAATTCTGCTCGAAAGCCGAATGTAAAGGGCTGGAAAGACTATTTCTAATAGCCTTCTGCTTCAACTGCTTGCAGAACAAGATAACCATCAGGAGTTAAATCAAGAGACGTGCTCAGTAAACTGCTGCTCGATAGCAGAGTAATAATTCATTGAGAGTAATTCAACCGCTACTTGGAGCCAATGTTCCATTCGATTGATCATTAACGGTTAGAACTAACTGTCGCTAAAATCAGTTGACGCACGAGTCAATGTTGCCTACACGCCTTCCCCACTGATTTGCTTTTCATCTTTAAGAACTACCTGAAATTAAACTTCAATTACTGCTGTGCTCCATCATCTGCTCGAAAGCTGATGGAGTATGATTGTAGATGAAAACAAGCACAATACAATTGTATAGCGACTTTTTTAATCATTATTCTTAGCCAATTTCCTTTCAAATGTTTGTCCGTAGACATTATTATATACCACGCAGGTGTATTGTGCTTTTCGCAAGGGGCTAATTGGCTATCACGGAAGTGATCAGCACGTACTAGTCACTTCTTAGCAGTCAAGAGGACAAAATCGCGCTTCGAGCGTTTCATATCTGACATTTCTCAAAATTTTGAAAGAAATATACCATTCTTTTGGTTTCTTTGTGGTAGATACTAAGAAAATTATTCACCTCAGTGTCGGTGAAAGTGGAAGATATTTACCTTTACAGCAGTGAATAATTGTTAACTATTGGGAAATACCGGACAATGTTTTGCACGAGTGAAAAGTAAGAACATGCGTCTTTAAATCCTGTTCAGATAAGTCTAGAAAGAGGCCTTCACAATTATGCAATTATTATTTTGTCCAGAACTATGCAACAGAAACAGCGCGGACTGTTTAAGTTATAGACTCCACTTTCTATTGGTTTACTGGCCTAATAACCCACGCGGCCTCAGGGGAACGTTGATTTGGGAGAACACGAGAAAAGTGGTGAGTCACGAGCCAGGGGCGAATGATTTAGCCTACTTTTCGAGTGCTTTTGAGACTAATTTGAAAAATCTTAATTGTTCCGCTAGGAGCTCCCTTAAATTTGAAGTTCAAAGTTTTTTTGCACAGCACAGCTAACTAAGACAAAAAATGCAAAACATTAAAAAACAAAAACAAACAAAAAAAGACTGTCTAGCGCTCTCTTTTACTTGATTACTTTCATGGACACATTGATATATTTAGGTTAAACTAACCCTTGAGCAGAAAGAAAGCTGTGCTTCCATGCTTTTTGGTAAAACAATAGTTTACCTATAATTGCAAATCAGTGACGCGAATTATGTTCTTAAGCTTATCTTTCCTCTATAAAAGATGTTTTATAACAAAATCTTTTATTCAAATTATTTTGACATACAAATCGGTAAAATTAAGTGAATCAAATATCCACCTTATAACCACAAGTTTTTGGACCTCATTTTATAAACGTGACAAACTCACACGCCATTGCTACCGAATTGTAGTAATAATGACATTAGTTTTGTTTGCCGTGAATGAAAATTACAGACGCGCTCCATAAACTTCTGCTAAAAAGCAGAGCATAAGTATTTATGTAAAAAAGAACGTCAATACTGAGGCAGCACCTTTTATTTGAGACACATCAACCCTAAAGTAGGCAGGCTGTTTTTACGTCTCATTGATATCTATGGAGCATAAGTCTCCTTCTATTAAAATTTGCGGCATATTTGCGAAAGAAAATAATAGATTCAATTTTAATGTTAATATCTTTTTCCTTTAGCCATTGTTTTGAAACGCATAAAAAGGCGCGAGCGAAAAGAAAGAGTAACTTCTCTTCTTGTTCCCAGAGAGGCTTGAAAACACTGAGCTGATTGAAGATCGTACCTGCACATTTCCAAGTGAGTATAACAAGCCTCTGTCATAACTAAAACTTCAATAACATAGGTGAAGATTGTGCAATCTTTCCCGAGTTAGCTTTTAGTTCAGATTGATAAAGGAAGAATTTTCTTTAGATACACGTCATCACGAAATCAAGGCGCACGAATTCTGAAAAGTTCATTCAGCGACATTGACTCTGTTTTTCGGCGGTGTAAGCTAAGAACGATTCAGAGGTGAACGTTTTTCAGCTGTGGAAGACGTATTCTCTTCTGGTAGAAGACTGATGTCATATAAGTCACTGAAAGAGCTACTATGCACAAATGGGTTCATAGCATTACATTTTCCAACTGATTTCACCACTTTCGATCCGTGCCAATCTCATCAATTGACTCTATCACATATTTTCACCTTGCCGAAGTAATATTTTGTGGTAATTTACAATTCGTGTCAGTTTTATCCATACTTAACTATCCTTATTCATCATGGGTTTATTTTGCTTTTAATGCAAATTATCATGTTACCAAAGTAATATTTTGTAGTAATTTACAACTCATGCCAACCTTCTCCTTGATCAACCACACTCTTTCTCCTTCTTTGTTTATCATTTCATGATTTTCTGTTTCTGTTTTACCGAACTAATACTTTATAGTCCCTTTCCTACCACAGGTAATTAAAATGTCACAACATGTAGCTTCAGGAATAGGTTTATGAAAAAGCAGAATTTCCTCGCGTCAATTATAACTTTTAATTTTTTGTTCATAAGGCAGTTTGATTTGCTTAAGACTTGCTAAGTCATTCTTACGTGTAGCACCTACATTTGTAAATTTTCCTCCGTTACATATAATGAGTGATAAGGCTTTCCTAATGAGATAATCTTGCTGCTTTCCACTCTTAGGGGTTCATATCGTTGTTCCAGAGATCGGACCATGACGGTAAACGCAGGGACTCTTTTACTCATTCTTGCCTGTTACGCTGTACATTGTAAGTACTCGTTCTATTTTTATAGGGAAACATAATGTTAAACGATGTGAATGCTGATTTAAGTACGTTTGCTATGAGATATGCATTGTCAAATACATTTGCAAATTTAACTTTGTAGAATTCTTGTTTGATACCATATACGGCTTTTTCCTACCAAACTATATGAGAAGAAAATAAGTCGCTGAACTTAGAATTATTTTAAGATTTTTCTAGGTTCATTTATACTCAGAAAGATCGAGTTACTCGTGGGATTCTTTTAGAAATTGTTATTTCAGTAACAAAGATCTTTTCCTCTTTTTAGCAATTATCATTTAGTTTGGAATCAGGGTTTGTACTGGCTATTACTGATATAAATTCTTTCAAAACCGCCTCATTGTTATATACTGTCCAGTATAAATTTATCACTAGAGAAAGATCCAAGTCTCTTGCAGAAGTGAGTGGTGTGTTTCCTTTCACTATAACAACATAACGATGAAATTTTAATCTCAGCCATGGCAGTCGACGTTCAAGAGGACAAATTCGCTCCGACACCCCAGTCCGACACCCCTGAACGTCAAGAGCTACCCAAAAGTTTCCAAAATGCAGGTACAGTATCATCACTTTTTTGTAATTTGTCTTGTACTAAGTATTCTTTTTCGTAGAATACCATAGTACGCATAAAGGATACGCCTTTGTCATCGCCTGAATTTTTTTAAACAAATGTATTCCATATTGTCGTGTGTCAGATCAATAATAAGTCACAGATAGTGTCAAAATGTGGTGAGAACAAAAAAGTGGCAGAGAAATTGCTCAGTGAAATGGCATCGATTTGCCTTATGTAACAATGAAGCGAAAAGTTGGTGATGGCAACGTCATCTATGCGTCACTATAACGACACTATAACAACATAACGATGAAATTTTAATCTCAGCCATGGCAGCCGACGTTCAAGAGGACGAATTCGGTTCGACACCCCAGTCCGACACCCCTGAACGTCAAGAGCTACCCCAAAGTTTCCAAAATGCAGGTACAATTTCGTCACTTTTTTACAATTTGTTTTGTAGTAAGTATTCTTTTTCATAAATACGTAGAATACTATAGTAGGCATAAAAGATACGCCTTTGTCATCGCCTGAATTTTTTTAAACAAATATATTCATATTGTCGTGTGTCAGATCAATAATAAATCACAGATAGTGTCAAAATGTGGTGAGAACAAAAAAGTAGCAGAGAAATTGCTCAGTGAAATGGCATCGATTTGTTTTATGTAACATTGAAGCGAAAAGTTGGTGATGGCGACGTCATCTATGTGCCCCTCCTCCAAGAACTCATAAGAAAGAGCCAATCAAAAAATGCATGCATACTTCAGCTTATCATGTAATATCCCATAGGTTATCGCAGTGCGATTTCATCACCTCTCTTCAGAAGAATTATCAATGGAGCACATGCCCTTCATCCTGCCGCATGGCCCTGGCTGGCTTCATTGAGAACATTACATCATGGTCATTTTTGCGGTGGCTCACTGATCAGTCCTGAATGGGTGCTTACAGCTGCTCACTGCTTTTTTGACCCCCATACTCATCAACCTTCAATCAATCTTCAGACAATGCAGGTGTTTTTGGGTAGGTATACCCATCATAGACGGTTGGTCATTCTTTTAGAAGTATTAACTAACTATGAATCGAAGAGCGAAGGGCTGAGCGTTGCCTCCATTCACCACCCATCTCCCTCAAAGTAACTTTTTTGGTTTTGTGAGAACACTTAAGAATTATCTTACCCTCCAGGTGAGATTGAGAGGTTGCAGTATAAATTCCGGGAAATATGATCTCCAGGAGCTACGCGTCGACCAGAACGGCTGCTAGATATAAAAGTGGCCGAAGTTTCTGTAGATAATGGATTTAAGCTTGATCTAACTGGTTGCAACGGAATTACACAGTGTACAATCATCAGTGCCGCTTTTATATAATCAGTCCGTCTCAAAAATGATATAAATGGCTTTACCTCGTTGCACATATGAAGTCAAATTTGGATGCCTAACATCACGACCACTTCACATACGTTGTCAATTTTCTCATATTTAGTACTAAATATTCAATTTGACCTGCAGATATCGATTGCTAATCGAGATGGGTAAAAATGTTTTCATAACTAAATTAAATATAACTTATTAAATTATACTGGAAATGATACAGAAACGTAGGCTCAAACGTTTTAAGCTCCATATTTTAAACATTTTGTTTTCAATTACAAATTAAAGCTATGATATTTTGATTGTGCTGATAGCCGATCTCGAAATGTACAATTTTATGAGAGCAATATGCCTCACTCGTGATATATTTCTTTTTATTTCAGGTGCCAAGGGTCACAATCAGCCTGGTATGCACTTTGGAGTTGCACAGTTGGTCTTGCATCCCCAATATAGGCCGTTTCTACAGGCGGGTCCATTTGACATTGCCCTTATAAGGCTCGCTGGCAGGGTAACCAATATCCCACCTGTCCCCTTGCCTAATAATAACCCAACAGAACCATCGCTTACAGCAAAATGCATGGCTGCTGGTAAGCATATTTGATTAATGTTTGATCAATATAAAAAACTTAAAAGAAAAAAAAAAACTAGACTATGAGACCGAACTTCTCGCTACGATGTGGGAGAGCGGTTGCCTCTTTGTTAGTGAGCTGGAGTCTGGGTGGAGAAGTCTGGGTTCGAGACCTGACCAGGTCATCGTGTTGTGCACTTGGGAAAAACACTTTTCTTTCACAGTGCCTCTCTCCATCCAGGAGTATTAATTTGGTACCGGTGAATTGTCAGGGAAGCCTGATCAAATGCTGGGGGGTAACCTCGGGATAGATTAACCTCCCATCCAGAGGGGGGGTGGGCGCTTAGCTTGACATAACCTTTCCTCACTATGATGATAAATATATTCATATAGTCTAGGTAAAGAATACTCGTCAATTGCCAAAGCTTCCAACACAAATGTCTCTACTACGATTTAAGGAGGATGTATGTCAGATGTAATGCTACCACGGGTTTTAATGGATGTTGCACGTGCACAAATGTGTCTACATAACCCAGACTAGCAATGTCTTTTTGTTTTTCCATTTTCAACATTTTGCGGCGTTCCCTGATGCAAATATGAAAGCACCATCAAAGATTAAAACTATTAGCACTGATTCCAATCATCAGGTTGGGGACGTCATATACCTGGGCCAAACAGATTAACCCCTCCAGTTCTTCAACAAGCACCGATGCCTCTTCAAGACCCTCGGAGATGTGGAATGAGCATAGCTAATATTAATTTCCAGTTATGTGCAGGAGGAACTGGAACTAGTACATGCCAAGGGGACAGCGGTGGTCCACTGTTTTGTGAAGACCGTGGAAGGTTTGCCCTCCAAGGGATCACGTCCTTTGGACACTCGTTTTGTATATCTGACCGATCCAGTGTGTACACTCGGGTCAGTTTTTTCGTGGGCTGGATCCGAGGAATCATGGCAGGTATAAACTTTTAGTCATTTACCCACGATATGTTTGACCGCATGTTAGGGGAACTGAACAAAATTCACCAGTTCGAGGCTTTCGTTTTTCCTTCATGATTTGGCTTGTTCACCTAGGCCTTCCATTTCTTTTGGTTAGTTTCAACCAGAAAAGGTTTGTGGTTGTGCAAGGAAAATTTGTTGAATTAGCTGACGAGTGTGTTGTTTCGCGATATAGCGCCTTATGTAGTAAAACCAGAAGTAAAATAAGCTAAACGGCCAATCAGATGAAAGGACGACCAATCAGATGAAAGGACGATATCTCCAGTAAATCTCAAATAAAAATTTCGCAACCTACTTCAAGGGCTAAATCTGACTGGTTGAGAAAGTGGCGCGAGTTTCCTAGACCAATCAAAGAGCAAAGTAAAGTTAATCCAAAGCGACCCCAGGAGATCGCCAGTTTCTATTCGATTTCGTAAATGAAACTTCAATATTGAGGATCGCGTGATATGCCTCAGTCTTAATCATTGTAGATGACACTTGCAGATATCATAAACATCTTGAGGGGAGCTATGGAATTAAGAGATTGGTAATCGCCGTACGAGAGAACCGAAATTTGACAAACCAGTATAATTTTCAGTATATTTGATAATCGGAGGTTTCTTCGTTAATCATACATCAGACCAGAGAAAATCCAAAAGCAAGCAAGTAATGGCAGAAGGAGGTGTTAAAAATTATTAGAAACTTGCTCACTGACATTAAATTCAAACCCTTAATTGTCATAATAACTATTTTGAACTGACGTAATTCTTGGAAATACAATGATAGAAACGCGCTGCTGTTGCCTTCTTTCCACTTTAAATAATAGATGAAAAACTTCCATAACTATCCCTAACTGTAATTGAGAGAGAAACCTTTACAAAACAAGTGGATGACGATGCAATTTGCCACTGCTTTTATGTACGGTGGTATGGGTATGCCATGATAAATGAAGAAAGCTGCAGTTACTTTTATTCCGTTATAGGACCGAGGCCAGGGCCAGGTGTGCCGCATCCTTTTATTCCGAGATTTCCAGTGCCAGGTACAGTATTTTAAAACAAGCATTAGCTCTTTTTCAATCTTATGTTACGTTACGTTAGCCCTTCCAATCGCTCTGACGAAGGGCTAACGCTCGAAACGTCTGCCTTTAAACTCTTTACGGTGGCTAATTTACATTTTAACACTAAATTACCTGTTATACTCTCCCCCCGACGCAGCAACACAGTCTCTTTAGAAACTCACCCCCTTTATTCATTTGTCTTTTTCACTCAGTCTTGTTCATTCATATAGTTCCTTTAACCAATTGCAGCACATTCTGTTGTTTATATTCGATTTTCTACTACATTCATGATTCCTTTTTGCATAATAAGTAAACTTATTGTATTTTCAATTTTTTGCGGTGTCTTTTTTGCAATTGGTAAGTCATTAATTACAGATACAAATTGACTAGCATCCAATTTCTCCCATAATATAATCCCTGAATCAAACATTAGGGTTAAGAGAATAGGGAAAATGATCACCAACTAAGGAAGCTCTTGATTGTTAAACAAATTCTCATTGTCAGCACCATAGGAAATGTATGACGAACAGTAGGGAGAATATGTATACTGACGCTTGGGTGTAAAGGGTTTCGTAACAGGTGAACGTTGAAAAAACGATCGATTAAAATTGGTTGCTTATGTTTCAGATTGAAAGTAAAATGTTCTGAGTCTTGAAAAAAATGAAAAAAAAAAACGGAAACAAAATCAAACGAGAACACAATAGCAACTAAAAACAGAAGCATTTTTCAAACTTTACGGTTTTTTTATATTTGCATTTTTACTTTATCAAACGATAAATGAGCTATGCAATATTAAGAGGTAAATGATCGTTATCATACTTTTTTGTTAGGTTCCTTCCTCCGTATTCTTTGCTAACTGTCCATTTTGCACGACTTACTTCAGCTTTTATTGAACTTTTACTGGCGATGAACTAACCGATATTAATTGTAATTTTAAGGTCGCTAATTTACCGAGGGAGCGTGCAAGTCGTCCATGGAACAGCCAATTTGTAGATGCTGGTGATCATTGTATTGAATTTACCACACGTAGTTGTTAATAAAATGATGGCATTACTCCATGAGCTAATCGAGAAGTGTGGGTCTCCATTAACTCTTTAAATTAAAGTTGACATTAAGGCACATCCAGGTCAGGAAGAATAGATGAAATACTTTAGGCCCTTCCTTCTAATTTTTCTATCGAATATTTGCGCAATTTGAAAGAAAGTACAGGGAGCAACAGTGGACTCTAACGTTTCATTTTCTCTGAATTTTCTAAATTTTACCACAGGAGCCAAACTTTGATTACATGCCCTTAATCAATCATCCAGCGAAAGCTTAACATACCAGGCTCCAGCTCTGAATATAAAAATGTGCTCACAAAGATATCCAGAAAATTTTCGCTCACGATATTTAATGGCACCAAAGTTTGGTTTCTGGTTTTCTGTTCGTAGGTAAAATTACCCTCACCCAGACGCACACACTATAACAACAGAAAAATCCCTTAAGTCATCCTCTTGGATTTCCCGCTTCCTTTGACAAATTCGGCGTGTGGAATGAACCATTGATGGATACACAGTTTCTCAATGGAAGAGTATCTTCGGCCATCAGAAATCATGATCATTCAAATGATTTTGAAAGTCTTCGTTTAAGCAGAAATTATGGGTAATGTTGAGAGTCTTTGGTCAGAATTAGAAATGTCATTTGACGGCGGATAAACTTCTTTCTCTCAATACCGGTAGATTGACATCCAAATTTTATCTATCGGACATTGTTTGACTTCTGTTGAAATCGGAAACCAACTCCTTTACGGCTATTCAGTTATACATGTAACTGATGCTCCAGTGATATCGGTGTTGGAGAATAACAGACTTAGCACACTTGGATAGAGCTTTCAGACCTTAGTTTATCACATTGATATTATGCACCTATATATAAATAAAACCATAACGTGTCGATAAATAACGACGGTCTCAATGGGGTTAACCGTAAAACCGTTAACGAAAAACTATAACCGTTAAAATATTTTCTTTATAGAGTGCGCCATTTTTTTTGAGTCATGAAACTCTCACTAAACGTTAGCGGCAAAATGGCTTAAATCTTAACCCTCAGGGGTAAATTCATTACCCCACTGAAAACATCTTTTACATGTCTTCAAGTGAAAACGGTATTCAGTCAGACATGCTTCAGGTTTATATATTCAAAGAGATGAGACGATACAGATTTGTTTAGATCGTTACTATCATTGATAGAGGCTGTATCTTTGCCATCTCCGGGTTGAAGTAGCTTATGTCCTATAACAAAGTCTTGCATGCTTTCCTTCTGTTAATGCAGTTTAAACCTGATATTTTTTGCAACTAATTGCAAATCAGTCACTCAAGTTATGCTAGATATAGTCGTTTGTTTCTTTCGATAGCACATCTATAAACCATCAACAAATTTATACAAACCAACTCGGAGAAAATATAGACGAAGCTACAATTTCCCTATTAAAGATCTTTGGAAACCCTAATATTGATCGTTAGTTGTCCCATCTTAACACTTTTTGTATTTGCTAATGACAGGATATTCAGACAAACGGGTGCTCGAGAATGTCAGAGTAACGAAATCGGCACTAAATTTCATGCTTGAGTGATAGTTTAAGACGTGGACTTTCAAATTCTGCTCGAAAGCCGAATGTAAAGGGCTGGAAAGACTATTTCTAATAGCCTTCTGCTTCAACTGCTTGCAGAACAAGATAACCATCAGGAGTTAAATCAAGAGACGTGCTCAGTAAACTGCTGCTCGATAGCAGAGTAATAATTCATTGAGAGTAATCCAACCGCTACTTGGAGCCAATGTTCCATTCGATTGATCATTAACGGTTAGAACTACCTGTCTCTAAAATCAGTTGACGCACGAGTCAATGTGACCGACACGCCTCCCCCCACTGATTTGTTTTTCATCTTTAAGAACTACCTGAAATTAAACTTCAATTACCGCTGTGCTCCATTATCTTCTCGAAAGCTGATGGAGTAGGATTGTAGATGAAAACAAGCACAATATAATTGTATAGCGACTTTTTTAATCATTATTCTTAGCCAATTTCCTTTCAAATGTTTGTCCGTAGACATTATTATATACCACGCAGGTGTATTGTGCTTTTCGCAAGGGGCTAATTGGCTATCACGGAAGTGATCAGCACGTACTAGTCACTTCTTAGCAGTCAAGAGGACAAAATCGCGCCTCGAGCGTTTCATATCTGACATTTCTCAAAATTTTGAAAGAAATATACTATTTTTGGTTTCTTTATGGTAGTTACTAAGAAAATTATTCACCTCAGTGTCGGTGAAAGTGGAAGATATTTACCTTTACTGCAGTGAATAATTGTTAACTATTGGGAAATACCGGACAATGTTTTGCACGAGTGAAAAGTAAGAACATGCGTCTTTAAATCCTGTTCGGATGAGTCTAGAAAGAGGCCTTCACAATTATGCAATTATTATTTTGTCCAGAACTATGCAACAGAAACAGCGCGGACTGTTTAAGCAATAGACTCTACTTTCTATTGGTTTTACTGGCCTAATAACCCACGCGGCCTCAGGGGAACGTTGATTTGGGAGAACAAGAGAAAAGTGGTGAATCACGAGCCAGAGGCGAATGATTTAGCCTACCTTTCGAGTGCTTTTGAGAGCAATTTGAAAAATCTTAATTGTTCCGCTAGGAGCTCCCTTAAATTTGAAGTTCAAAGTTTTTTTGCACAGCACAGCTAACTAAGACAAAAAAATGCAAAACATTAAAAAACAAAAACAAACAAAAAAAGACCGTCTAGCGCTCTCTTTTACTTGATTACTTTCATGGATACATTGATATCTTTAATTTAAACTAACCCTTAAGCGGAAAGAAAGCTGTGCTTCCATGCTTTTTGGTAAAACAATAGTTTACCTATAATTGCAAATCAGTGACGCGAATTATGTTCTTAAGCTTATCTTTCCTCTATAAAAGATGTTTTATAACAAAATCTTTTATTCAAATTATTTTCAAATACAAGTCGGTAAAATTAAGTGAATCAAATATCCACCTTATAACCACAAGTTTTTGGACCTCATTTTACAAACGTGACAAACTCACACGCCATTGCTACCGAATTGTAGTAATAATGACATTAGTTTTGTTTGCCGTGGATGAAAATTACAGACGCGCTCCATAAACTTCTGCTAAAATGCAGAACATAAGTATTTATGTAAAAAAGAACGTCAATACTGAGGCAGCACCTTTTATTTGAGACACATCAACCCTAAAGTAGGCAGGCTGTTTTTACGTCTCATTGATATCTATGGAGCATAAGTCTCCTTCTATTAAAATTTGCGGCATATTTGCGAAAGAAAATAATAGATTCAATTTTTATGTTAATATCTTTTTCCTTTAGCCATTGTTTTGAAACGAATAAAAAGGCGCGAGCGAAAAGAAAGAGTAACTTCTCTTCTTGTTCCCAGAGAGGCTTGAAAACTCTGAGCTGATTGAAGATCGTACCTACACATTTCCAAGTGAGTATAACAAGCCTCTGTCATAACTAAAACTTCAATAACATAGGTGAAGATTGTGCAATCTTTCCCGAGTAAGCTTTTAGTTCAGATCGATAAAGGAAGAATTTTCTTTAGATACACGTCATCACGAAATCAAGGCGCACGAATTCTGAAAAGTTCATTCAGCGACATTGACTCTGTTTTTCGGCGGTGTAAGCTAAGAACGATTCAGAGGTGAACGTTTTTCAGCTGTGGAAGACGTATTCTCTTCTGGTAGAAGACTGATGTCATATAAGTCACTGAAAGAGCTACTATGCACAAATGGGTTCATAGCATTACATTTTCCAACTGATTTCACCACTTTCGATCCGTGCCAATCTCATCAATTGACTTTATCACATATTTTCACCTTGCCGAAGTAATATTTTGTGGTAATTTACAATTCGTGTCAGTTTTATCCATACTTAACTATCCTTATTCATCATGGGTTTATTTTGCTTTTAATGCAAATTATCATGTTACCAAAGTAATATTTTGTAGTAATTTACAACTCATGCCAACCTTCTCCTTGATCAACCACACTCTTTCTCCTTCTTTGTTTATCATTTCATGATTTTCTGTTTCTGTTTTACCGAACTAATACTTTATAGTCCCTTTCCTACCACAGGTAATTAAAATGTCACTACATGTAGCTTCAGGAATAGGTTTATGAAAAAGCAGAATTTCCTCGCGTCAATTATAACTTTTAATTTTTTGTTCATAAGGCCGTTTGATTTGCTTAAGACTTGCTAAGTCATTCTTACGTGTAGCACCTACATTTGTAAATTTTCCTCCGTTACATATAATGAGTGATAAGGCTTTCCTAATGAGATAATCTTGCTGCTTTCCACTCTTAGGGGTTCATATCGTTGTTCCAGAGATCGGACCATGACGGTAAACGCAGGGACCCTTTTACTCATTCTTGCCTGTTACGCTGTACATTGTAAGTACTCGTTCTATTTTTATAGGGAAACATAATGTTAAACGATGTGAATGCTGATTTAAGTACGTTTGCTATGAGATATGCATTGTCAAATACATTTGCAAATTTAACTTTGTAGAATTCTTGTTTGATACCATATACGGCTTTTTCCTACCAAACTATATGAGAAGAAAATAAGTCGCTGATCTTAGAATTAAGATCATCACTAGAGAAAGATCCAAGTCTCTTGCAGAAGTGAGTGGTGTGTTTCCTTTCACTATAACAACATAACGATGAAATTTTAATCTCAGCCATGGCAGTCGACGTTCAAGAGGACAAATTCGCTCCGACACCCCAGTCCGACACCCCTGAACGTCAAGAGCTACCCAAAAGTTTCCAAAATGCAGGTACAGTATCATCACGTTTTTGTAACTTGTCTTGTACTAAGTATTCTTTTTCGTAGAATACCATAGTACGCATAAAGGATACGCCTTTGTCATCGCCCGAATTTTTTGAAACAAATGTATTCCATATTGTCGTGTGTCAGATCAATAATAAGTCACAGATAGTGTCAAAATGTGGTGAGAACAAAAAAATGGCAGAGAAATTGCTCAGTGAAATGGCATCGATTTGCCTTATGTAACATTGAAGCGAAAAGTTGGTGATGGCAACGTCATCTATGCGTCACTATAACGACACTATAACAACATAACGATGAAATTTTAATCTCAGCCATGGCAGCCGACGTTCAAGAGGACGAATTCGGTTCGACACCCCAGTCCGACACCCCTGAACGTCAAGAGCTACCCAAAAGTTTCCAAAATGCAGGTACAATTTCGTCACTTTTTTACAATTTGTTTTGTAGTAAGTATTCTTTTTCATAAATACGTAGAATACTATAGTAGGCATAAAAGATACGCCTTTGTCATCGCCTGAATTTTTTTAAACAAATATATTCCATATTGTCGTGTGTCAGATCAATAATAACTCACAGATAGTGTCAAAATGTGGTGAGAACAAAAAAGTAGCAGAGAAATTGCTCAATGAAATGGCATCGATTTGTTTTATGTAACATTGAAGCGAAAAGTTGGTGATGGCGTTGTCATCTTTGTGCCCTTCCTCCAAGAACTCATAAGAAAGAGCCAATCAAAAAATGCATGCATACTTCAGCTTATCATGTAATATCCCATAGGTTATCGCAGTGCGATTTCATCACCTCTCTTCAGAAGAATTATCAATGGAGCACATGCCCTTCATCCTGCCACATGGCCCTGGCTGGCTTCATTGAGAACATTACATCATGGTCATTTTTGCGGTGGCTCACTGATCAGTCCTGAATGGGTGCTTACAGCTGCTCACTGCTTTTTTGACCCCCATACTCATCAACCTTCAATCAATCTTCAGACAATGCAGGTGTTTTTGGGTAGGTATACCCATCATAGACGGTTGGTCATTCTTTTAGAAGTATTAACTAACTATGAATCGAAGAGCGAAGGACTGAGCGTTGCCTCCATTCAACACCCATCTCCCTCAAAGCAACTTTTTTGGTTTTGTGAGAACACTTAAGAATTATCTTACCCTCCAGGTGAGATTGAGAGGTTGCAGTATAAATTCCGGGAAATATGATCTCCAGGAGCTACGCATCGACCAGAACGGCTGCTAGATATAAAAGTGGCCGAAGTTTCTATAGATAATGGATTTAAGCTTGATCCAACTGGTTGCAACGGAATTACACAGTGTACAATCATCAGTGCCGCTTTTATATAATCAGTCCGTCTCAAAAATGATATAAATGGCTTTACCTCGTTGCACATATGAAGTCAAATTTGGATGCCTAACATCACGACCACTTCACATACGTTGTCAATTTTCTCATATTTAGTACTAAATATTCAATTTGACCTGCAGATATCGATTGCTAATCGAGATGGGTAAAAATGTTTTCATAACTAAATTAAATATAACTTATTAAATTATACTGGAAATGATACAGAAACGTAGGCTCAAACGTTTTAAGCTCCATATTTTAAACATTTTGTTTTCAATTACAAATTAAAGCTATGATATTTTGATTGTGCTGATAGCCGATCTCGAAATGTACAATTGTATGAGAGCAATATGCCTCACTCGTGATATATTTCTTTTTATTTCAGGTGCCAAGGGTCACAATCAGCTTAGTATGCACTTTGGAGTTGCACAGTTGGTCTTGCATCCCCAATATAGGCCGTTTCTACAGGCGGGTCCATTTGACATTGCCCTTATAAGGCTCGCTGGCAGGGTAACCAATATCCCACCTGTCCCCTTGCCTAATAATAACCCAACAGAACCATCGCTTACAGCAAAATGCATGGCTGCTGGTAAGCATATTTGATTAATGTTTGATCAATATAAAAAACTTAAAAGAAAAAAAAAAAACTAGACTATGAGACCGAACTTCTCGCTATGATGTGGGAGAGCGGTTGCCTCTTTGTTAGTGAGCTGGAGTCTGGGTGGAGAGGTCTGGGTTCGAGACCTGACCAGGTCATCGTGTTGTGCACTTGGGAAAAACACTTTTCTTTCACAGTGCCTCTCTCCATCCAGGAGTATTAATTTTGTACCGGTGAATTGTCAGGGAAGCCTGCTGGGGGGCAACCTCGGGATAGATTAACCTCCATTCAGAGGGGGGGGTTGGCGCTTAGCTTGACATAACCTTTCCTCACTATGATGATAAATATATTCATATAGTCTAGGTAAAGAATACTCGTCAATTGCCAAAGCTTCCAACACAAATGTCTCTACTACGATTTAAGGAGGATGTATGTCAGATGTAATGCTACCACGGGTTTTAATGGATGTTGCACGTGCACAAATGTGTCTACATAACCCAGACTAGCAATGTCTTTTTGTTTTTCCATTTTCAACATTTTGCGGCGTTCCCTGATGCAAATATGAAAGCACCATCAAAGATTAAAACTATTAGCACTGATTCTAATCATCAGGTTGGGGACGTCATATACCTGGGCCAAACAGATTAACCCCTCCAGTTCTTCAACAAGCACCGATGCCTCTTCAAGACCCTCGGAGATGTGGAATGGGCATAGCTAATATTAATTTCCAGTTATGTGCAGGAGGAACTGGAACTAGTACATGCCAAGGGGACAGCGGTGGTCCACTGTTTTGTGAAGACCGTGGAAGGTTTGCCCTCCAAGGGATCACGTCCTTTGGACACCCGTTTTGCATATCTGACCAATCCAGTGTGTACACTCGGGTCAGTTTTTTCGTGGGTTGGATCCGAGGAATCATGGCAGGTATAAACTTTTAGTCATTTACCCACGATATGTTTGACCGCATGTTAGGGGAACTGAACAAAATTCACCAGTTCGAGGCTTTCGTTTTTCCTTCATGATTTGGCTTGTTCACCTAGACCTTCCATTTCTTTTGGTTAGTTTCAACCAGAAAAGGTTTGTGGTTGTGCAAGGAAAATTTGTTGAATTAGCTGACGAGTGTGTTGTTTCGCGATAGAGTGCCTTATGTAGTAAAACCAGAAGTAAAATAAGCTAAACGGCCAATCAGATGAAAGGACGATATCTCCAGTAAATCTCAAATAAAAATTTCGCAACCTACTTCAAGGGCTAAATCTGACTGGTTGAGAAAGTGGCGCGAGTTTCCTAGACCAATCAAAGAGCAAAGTAAAGTTAATCCAAAGCGACCCCAGGAGATCGCCAGTTTCTATTCGATTTCGTAAATGAAACTTCAATATTGAGGATCGCGTGATATGCCTCAGTCTTAATCATTGTAGATGACACTTGCAGATATCATAAACATCTTGAGGGGAGCTATGGAATTAAGAGATTGGTAATCGCCGTACGAGAGAACCGAAATTTGACAAACCAGTATAATTTTCAGTATATTTGATAATCGGAGGTTTCTTCGTTAATCATACATCAGACCAGAGAAAATCCCAAAGCAAGCAAGTAATGGCAGAAGGAGATGTTTAAAATTATTAGAAACTTGCTCACTGACATTAAATTCAAACCCTTAATTGTCATAATAACTATTTTGAACTGACGTAATTCTTGGAAATACAATGATAGAAACGCGCTGCTGTTGCCTTCTTTTCACTTTAAATAAAAGATGAAAAACTTCCATAACTATCCCTAACTGTAATTGAGAGAGAAACCTTTACAAAACAAGTGGATGACGATGCAATTTGCCACTGCTTTTATGTACGGTGGTATGGGTGTGCCATGATAAATGAAGAAAGCTGCAGCTACTTTTATTCCGTTATAGGACCGAGGCCAGGGCCAGGTGTGCCGCATCCTTTTATTCCGAGATTTCCAGTGCCAGGTACAGTATTTTAAAACAAGCATTAGCTCTTTTTCAATCTTATGTTACGTTACGTTAGCCCTTCCAATCGCTCTGACGAAGGGCTAACGCTCGAAACGTCTGCCTTTAAACTCTTTACGGTGGCTAATTTACATTTTAACACTAAATTACCTGTTATACTCTCCCCCCGACGCAGCAACACAGTCTCTTTAGAAACTCACCCCCTTTATTCATTTGTCTTTATCACTCAGTCCTGTTCATTCATATAGTTCCTTTAACCAATTGCAGCACATCCTGTTGTTTATATTCGATTTTCTACTACATTCATGATCCCTTTTTGCATAATAAGTAAACTTATTGTATTTTCAATTTTTTGCGGTGTCTTTTTTGCAATTGGTAAATCATTAATTACAGAGCATCCAATTTCTTCCATAATATAATCCCTGAATCAAACATTAGGGTTAAGAGAATAGGGAAAATGATCACCAACTAAGGAAGCTCTTGATTGTTAAACAAATTCTCATTGTCAGCACCATAGGAAATGTATGACGAACAGTAGGGAGAATATGTATACTGATGCTTGGGTGTAAAGGGTTTCGTAACAGGTGAACGTTGAAAAAACGATCGATTAAAATTGGTTGCTTATGTTTCAGATTGAAAGTAAAATGTTCTGAGTCTTGGAAAAAATGAAAAAAAAAAACGGAAACAAAATCAAACGAGAACACAATAGCAACTAAAAACAGAAGCATTTTTCAAACTTCACGGTTTTTTGATATTTGCACTTTTACGTTATCAAACGATAAATGAGCTATGCAATATTAAGAGGTAAATGATCGTTATCATACTTTTTTGTTAGGTTCCTTCCTCCGTATTCTTTGCTAACTGTCCATTTTGCACGACTTACTTCAGCTTTTATTGAACTTTTACTGGCGATGAACTAACCGATATTAATTGTAATTTTAAGGTCGCTAATTTACCGAGGGAGCGTGCAAGTCGTCCATGGAACAGACAATTTGTAGATGCTGGTGATCATTGTATTGAATTTACCACTCGTAGTTGTTAATAAAATGATGGCATTACTCCATGAGCTAATCGAGAAGTGTGGGTCTCCATTAACTCTTTAAATTAAAGTTGACATTAAGGCACATCCAGGTCAGGAAGAATAGATGAAATACTTTTTCTATCGAATATTTGCGCAATTTGAAAGAAAGTACAGGGAGCAACAGTGGACTCTAACGTTTCATTTTCTCTGAATTTTCTAAATTTTACCACAGGAGCCAAACTTTGATTACATGCCCTTAATCAATCATCCAGCAAAAGCTTAACATACCAGGCTCCAGCTCTGAATATAAAAATGTGCTCACAAAGATATCCAGAAAATTTTCGCTCACGATATTTAACGGCACAAAAGTTTGGTTTCTGCGGCAATTTTCTCTCTGCTGTTTGTAGGTAAAACTATCGGCAAATTCTGCTCAAAATACTATCATCAACTCCGTTTAGCTTAAAAAAATGATCCTTGATCGGTTTGCTTAATAGATGTTCCAGCTCTTCGTCTCCCGTCCTGTTAGTGGCTCCGACTGCCATGACTTCAATTCCTCTTCTTTTTATTTCGTCAGCTCTTATTTTAACAGCGTCAGATCCAATGAAACTAAATCCATTCGTAATAAAAATAGCAACTTCTCTTACTTCTGAAAGGAAAAAAAACAACTGAAAAATAGCAGAAAGAAAAAAGATGATGGCTTTTTCACAAAGCATTCCCGTGCACGCTTAATTCTTCTCAATCAAGGAATGCTCGGAGAGGGAGGTACCGTGAGTGGAATAAGACGCCACGAGCGACACACGGACGCTGTCACTGGATAAGGCGAGTCGCCTGATCAGTGCCTTAGCAAAGTCTTCTTTAAAACTTTCTTCACCTATACTCGCAGAGGCATCAAGAACTATGGCCAAGTCAATCTTTTTGTCACAATTTCCTGTTTGTCCTGTTTTGATTGAGATTGTACGTTAGAAGTTTACATAGCGTTTTTTACTAGGGCAGATCCCTCAAAGCTGACCCGAACTGAGGAATTGAACAATCAGTCATTTATTTTCTCTGAATTTGGCTAATGGAGAGGGTCACATCTTGTCCTTCGAAGACTCAATTGACACCTCAACGGACTTGATTTATAAATAGTATCACAACGAGTTATTTTCGAGATTTTCTTAAAGCTCTAGCTACTAAGTACTAAGTTTTTACTTCATTTTGTACCATTCAATTTGACTTGCATAAGAAAAATTGCCCATATTAATTTTCTACAAAAAGCACTTAGAATGTGAGCGCCTAAAGTACTCTGTCAACAAAGATTTTCTGTGGCATTTTTCAGTTCCTAACACACTTTCAAATAAGGTACTCTAAGAGACGACTATTTATGGTTAGGCTGCTTGGCAATAAGTTCTGAGCAGGGACTTGAGAGCAAAAATCAGAAAGTGTAATTCTTGCAAGGAAGAAGTTCCAAAAATTTTACCGCATGAAAATGAGTTGGCATTTCAAAAAATAGGTCCGCAATGCGTACATGTGTGGCTTACGAAATTGAGCTGCTTTTTAGTGTCTGGTGTCTCATTGGGTTTCTATTGGAAGAGCTAATATCCGATTACCTTTAGATAGTTTTCAATATTGATCCTGTTCATCAATAACACAAGACAACTAGCAGACAAAAGTCCTGAAATGTTCATTCTGAAGATGAGAGTTATTGGCCAAACTTTGTTATGGAGGTCTCATTTTGACAACAAAAGTTGCACATGTAACCTGAGGATTTAAGGAACTGAAAAAACATCAGCATAATTTCCCATAGTGGTCTGATAGATTCAGTCATTATTATGTTTACTTAGCGAAGTTGAATTGACTTCTGAAGTTTGTAGGTTGATTGTCTTTTCCAAAGTAAATGATGTGAAATGAACTCTAGGGAAGAATTTTATATGAATATTTTTGACATTTTGTGTACTAGTACACAAGGATAAAACTTTGGAGAAGGGCAGGGACATTTGGGAAATGATATAATCTACACTAGAAGCCATTGGGAGCTTGATTTGGTGTGAATGTATGACTAATTTTGGACAATACATACATATAAAGTTCTTATATCTGACTGTACGGGTAATTTGAGAAACATGGGACACTATAGAGCATAGCTGTGGACCACCAGCTCCACTGTGTTGATCTATGTCCACGGCACTCTTATAATGATTCTTGCAGCCTACGAAATCTGTTAAATTCGATCCAAAGTATTAATGAAGACTACCTGTTGTAGCAACAAAGGTTTAAAATTTCAAGAAGCACCTTAGGGTCAATGAAGTTGGTGGAGGAGGCCATTACAAAAGAGAACTTCCCCTGCTTGATGGTAACCACTTATTAGCTAATAGTATATCTTTGTATTCCATCGTAAAGTTGTTGGTGTAAACTTCTTTACATTTTTTGGTTTGAAAATCAAGGGAACCGGTGCATTTTACCAGCTTGCTGGGGTATTGCAAGGGTCGGCCTCATGTAAGATACAGTGGGCGTAGACTTAAATACTGAATCGGTCTGGTCTTAACATCTGTCATTGAAACCGAGCAGCAAATTAAAAAAATTGTGATCATGACAGATTGAACAGAAACATTTATTGACAACAAAAACTACACTATTCCACAAAAGCATTTGTTCTTTTGGTTCTGAATCCTATAAAATTGCAATTATTTTGTTTGAAAATTAAGGGAACTGGTCCATTTGACCAGTTTGCTGTGATATTGTTAGGGTTGGCCTTGTGTAAGATACAGTGGGGTTGAACCTAAATAATGACCCTGGTATTGGCATCTGTAGTTGAAACCAGGCAGCGAATTCAACAAGTCCTATTATAACAGACTGGAACAGCATCATTTATTGACCACAACAACTAAACTATTCCACAAAAGTATCAGTTTTGTCATAGCTGACCACTTCCAAAAAGCTCATCATGGTATACTGTATAACTTTGGCTTAGTTTTTGTAAGAAATTTTTGGCTCAAAATGACAAAGTCACTGCCTTGGATATCCAATTTGACACAACCTCACCTCAAATACTTCAAGTGGAACGTCGATGGTAGAAATGCTCCTCCACGGGGTTGCTAGATTTGGTGTGGATCGAAGCCTTCAGAAAGTCGCAGCACCATGATTCTTTTAGTCAGCGGATGCTCCTGTATTTTCGATCAAGGCTTCAAGACACATCATGCGGAGGTGTATTTTGCTCCTAGATTGTTGACTGCTCCTTTAAGTTGGAAAAAAAACTTAAGACCTGCCTTAATTGCTTGTTTCGAACCTATATCCTTCCTTATTTCGGTGCAGGAATCTGCTTATTAACCGCGAAGGAAGATTTTCTTAAAAAAAATTAAAAGGAATCTTAAATTTTACCCAAGCTACACCGTGTAACACCGAATTGAGGGGTGGTTTGGCCCTGGTGTGGTTCTTGAATTTAAGACTTTGTGTTACATTGCTGGATAACTTTCTGCAATGAGAGATTTAATGCTCTGGTGTGTGACCTCACCTAATTTTTGTTCTGTTCAGGAGATCTCTAAAATGCTTAATCCTGAAATATGTATTCCCAACACTTTAAAAACGTTTGGGGTGCCTACTTTCACTATACGTTTTTCACTCTTTCCGGCCATTCTAAAATACAGTCACTACACCTTCTTTTCATTTCATGGAAATTGCTTAATTTTCATGTCAAGATCGTATATTTAGTATTCTTGAGGATTTTCAACGCTTGTTAGCCCAACCTAAATTTCTTTATTTTGAAAAACGCCACAAGTTTCAGCCATTAATATCAATGTCGAAGACCAACCATTTATTCGGTCTCTCGAAGGACATCGATAAGTCAATCTACTGATGCATTTTAGTTTTCGTTTTGTGAATGCAAAGGCAAAACTATTAAAGCAAAGTCAACATGTAGGAATAAGGGGGTGTTACACTAAGACAGATCGAGTGCCGTGCTGAAAAGAAACTCAGGGAAGTGGGTGCATCACTTCCTTCGCCATACAACAAAACGAATAAGATAGCAATTTATCGATTGCAAGACTGTTTACCTCGACGACAACTTGAAAAACAGGTTTTTGCCGATGTTTTTAGTGGTGACTGTAAAATGACACGGCAACATCGTAAAATCGCTGCGGAGATTTCAGCTTCTAAATCAAATAACAGGAAACGTAAAGCTACAAAGGACTGATTCACAAATTACTATCATATTTCATCTAACACCTCACAGAACGCTCTTAAGCTGCTCGTGACGTTTCCTACTGAATTAACTCTATTTAGACGCAGTAGCTTTGATGTGCATTATATGCATTATATTATCTCATATGAATGAAATCTTTCGGTAACCAGACAAGCCTGTTGAGACTAACAAACGAGAACTGATTATAGCGCAGTACTTCACTGTGAGTAAATAACAAAGGCCAGAGAAAAGCAAATGATTTATGCCGTAAACTAGACATGGTACTGCATTCTTTCGTCAAGAGAGCATTTGGAAGCAGTTATTTGTTTCATTTACATTTGTTTTACCTTGCACTGATGCTGCAGATAGTCGTTGACATCCTGTGATTCCAGGAACATAGCCACATTTGGTTAGAGTGGAAGTATTGGCTCAAAGACATTTCTGCGTTATTTGCTCTGCGTCATTTGAATATTTAGAAATTACTTGGCTTGCCACTCATGTAATTCCATCTTCACGCAGAGGTTTCCAAATCTTCGAGTGTCATCCAAATCTAACGGTTGGCAATGCGAATGATGTATCCGGCGCAAATACAATTTAAGAGCCATTTTTCGAGAAAATCGAAAATCGCATGACACTAGTGAAAAAAACGAATTTTTTTTCCTCTCGCCAAAACATCCCTTTTAGTAACCTTATTGAAGAAAAAATAATTTTGGGTTCAAGCGATTCATTGTACGGGAGAAACTACAAAAAGTTTGAAAAATCGATTTTTTGCTGGTTTTTCGTACTCAAAAGAACAAAATCCGACCGCAACTTCGAGAAAACGGTGAACGCATAAGAAACAATCCCTAACATCGAAACTTCAGCCGAGTATTATTTCGTACTTACTCTTTAATTTCCTGAAAGAAATTTGAAGAAAGAAGTTTTTAACATTTACAATCGACAAGTTTAAAAAGGTCAAATTTGTATCCCTGGAAATGTTAATAAATGAAGGCGAACTTTAACTGTTGTAAAAGGCCACTGGTATATGCCGCTTCCTAGTAAAACCCATATAGAAAAAAACCTTGGCTATTGAACTAAATTACAGGAAAGTTTTAGCTCTGGAAATCCAATATAGTCCTCACACTAAAGTAAGCAATTTGAGTATCTGAGTAAATAAAATTTATGCAAATTAGACGGCCCGCTGAATGAATTCATATTTTTAACGCAAAGTTTTGTTGAACGAACAACTTACCATTGCTTGTTGTGATAGAAGTTAAAGCCATCTCTCAATCTGTTTGTCCTGTGAAGTGGCAACTCATCCATACCTGATTTTGACCAAAATGTGTCCAGCAACTTCAGCGCTTGAGCTATCTAAACACTTCCCACGCAGCGCTTATTACGCATTATCAGACGCTTTAATAATAATGAAACCCGATTATGTTTTGGTCCGAAAATAACATACAATGATGAAAATTAACCACTGCTCAAACCACACAGTTAACAAGGTGAGTATTATTCTTATTGAGCGAACAAATCAGATACTAGACGGGATAACAAGATCATGTGACGTGTAATTTAGCAAACGTGCAGAGATTGGTCACGCTAGCTTGTCGCATATGACGGTACGTGCTATACTTCGTACACAATGTAAACAGACAAAGAAGCAATTACAGCTGTCCCAAAGAAAAAATGTACAACCGTACGTCTGTTTATAGATCATCAGTGTAGAAATATTCGACTCTAGGAACAATATTAATAAAACATTTCCAGGTCAAATGCTCCTGGAATAAAATTTATATATTGTCACGAACTGTTTCGTCACTTACTATTGCACGTGCCTCTACGATATTATTTTTAATTGAATTATTCCCGTCTAGTATTACGAATACCGAAACAGCGTTAGTGGAGTTTGTCTCGTTTGTTGGGAGAGCTTTGTTTTTTGTCATGGCTTCGGCAACGTTTCACTCATGTAGTTTTTCTGGTTTATTACACGACGCCACACCCTGTGGTTTAAGCAGCGATTATCCGGGCCAAGTTGAAGTTCTCGCTTTAAGAAATTGTACAAGGGACATTTCGAGGCACTGCAAGCTGTATGGATTAAAAGCAGATACAGCACTTGATACTGAATGGAAACTGCTGTTAGCAAGAGCAGGTAAATCTTATGTACTGTCTTACCGTCTTACGTAGCGGCTAATAGTGGTGTACATTTCCATCATCTCTTTATCACAGACCTCACGATGGTCATGTTATTCTAAGAAAATCTTCGGGTGCTTTCCATTCAGCCCAAAATTCCGCAAGTTTCGGTTAGAAATCAAATGGAATGGACCATTTCGGTTCGGTCCTACCAGAATATTTGGGAACGCCTTTGAAGCTGGTCCAATTTGACCGGTCGAACCGAAATGTCCCCTTCCATTTGACAAAATTATTGTCCCCAGTACTTGTCTACCGCTCTTTTGTATCCTTCTTGCAAGAACAATAAGCAAACGAGTTCATCTCTTTAAAAATCGCAGGCTTTTATCCGCGGCGTTAATATTTTGCAAACCAAATATTAACGCTTACGATAGCAAAAAAGATCTTTATTCACCACCCCCACCCCCCCTTTACCTTTGTTTAGGGGTATTTGCAGTGGAAGAGTCCCACTTGTCATTGACAATATGCCCTCGCCACAGAGCGGAATTTGGTATGCGCTGGAGATCCTCAAAATTGAAGCGTAGCATTCCACTAGAAATAGCTGCTCACAAAACAGCCTCGGTCAAAGGCGATCGGCATTTGGACAGCGTTCTATCTGCATTTATTTTAAACACTGAAGGAATACTTATTCAAGTTGGATCGCGTAAGTTTATCGTAACACATTTGTAGCTAAAGTATACGCTTTAATTTTAAACGAGCGAGGGGGTAAAGCAATATATGCGCAAGCGTTACAATACCCTTTATTCTCCTGTTCCCCTCCCCCCAAAGAAGAAAATGGCTTTGAAGAATAGTAAAGAAATCGGTGATGGCCTTTTAACAAGGTTAACATTTATTTTTGCTACAGCTCTTTGCAGAATGTGCAAGCAACATTTCGCGGAGACAAACCAACAACAGAAAGTGACACCCGCACCAATGATTGAAGTTACTCCATGCGTAGAACTAGAGACTTCAGAAGCAAATGTAAGTAAGTAAACGGTAACCTTGGATACAGACTGTTATTCCAACATAGCAAATGCCAAAATTCCGAAAGGGCTGGGTAACTGTGAATAACTGTAAACTTTGAAAATGACTCTGAAAATGATTTTAAGACGAATAGGTCACTGTTCGTTTCTTTAAATTCCTTTCGGTCTGGCTGGAGCGGGAGTATTTATAATGATAGCGGTATGCATGTAAATTCATATTTTCTCTTTTTAAAATGATGTATAACTTAAGTTTCGAACTATAATAAAAAAACTAATGCCTAGAGACAAAATAAACAGAAATATTGAAGTAACATTGATGTCTAAACGTCTTTTTTGTATGTTATAGAACAGCTCAAACTCATCTCCAGGACAAAGTGATACCGGTCAATCTGTTGAAGAGTTTGCAGAAAGCCTTGGACGTCTAACAATCGCTGACCTTTCTGTCACCAGACACAATAAGCACAGCTTCCACTCAGAGTGACGAGCCCACACCTGTGATCTTACATGAGCCGCGCGAAAAGCTGAGTGAGTTCCTGGCAGCATGCAAACTTGAACCGCTTGGAAAGCCATGGCTTTCTTGGGGTGATTCCTCTGAGCGAACAAGAAAACGTCAAACAAGGAGAGCCACAGAAATAGTAGCCTGTGTGCTAAAGCGTCACCCCTGATAATGCTGGTGAACTCTGGCGACGTTTAGCCTCTTCTACGGCTATGAACAAGGCCCTAGGTGTAAGTGAGTTGTCACATTCAGAGCATTTGTATTTAGAGGCCCTAGCAGAAGTGTACCAGAATGCAACCAGCTGGGATACCCATAGACAAGTGCTTTCGATTATGGCAGGGGTTGGAACTTTCAACGACACTTCCCGTTATATCCCTACCGATACTCCATGGCTAATCTTCATCGATCACAGTTTGGCCGAGGCGCTCAAGTTCCACAACAGCCTACCACACGAATACGAGTAGACTTGAGGCAGCTTGACCACTTTCTTGGTTTCATCACGAGCCCGCATCTCGTTCAGGACCTTCCATTTAGGCAAAAACATCTCAAGCTTTCGTCTGGTGAGGTTATTCAAGTACCTAACGTAATCCGTATGATGATACCCGAGCGAGTGATACAACAGTACACTCAATACTGTTTGGAGATCAACTTCAAACCATTCAGCGAAACTACTTTACTCTTTGAGTGCAGTGCCTCTGTAAGAAAATCACTGCAGGGCTTAGATTATTTTGCAGCTGAAGGTGCTCGCGCATTTGATGATCTCCCCTCGTACGCCAAATAGGGGATTAGGTTCCGGCAAGGACTACAGTTGTGCAAGCTCTTATGACAAGCAAGCAGTATTTGAAGGGGGACTATAAGGTGATGTTTCTGACTCCAGAAAGACAGCTTGAATAAAACTAAAAGTAAGTACTTATTTTACCTCGTCAACAAAATCATTCCGTAAAACAAATATATATTTTGTACTCTTTTTCTTCACTAAATGGTGCACGTTAACTAGCTTACATAAAATCTCGAGATTAACAATGCACGCACGAGGATAGTTTTTTTCTATGGTTAAGGTTAAAAGTTATTCGCCCCTTACGTTAATAATATATGTTAGATTAAAAAAAATCATTTGATTAACTATTATATTGAAGTATAAGCACAGACAAACAGTAATCTCAGTTTTGTTTTATCAACAGGTTCATGTCACAAGCCCCTCTAACGTAGCAGACCATTGTGTGTTGTTTGCTCTTAGCGACAGTAGTGATGCAGATTACCAGCAACAATGCAGTCACCAACACATTGATCTTTGTGACCGTTGTCAAAGTCTTCAGGAAACTCTGGCAAAGATTGAACGGGTCCTTGGCGAGACGACCTTTCCGACTCAGGACGCGAAAGACGAAGCGCTATTTATATTCCAGACAGCCCAGCTGGCCATAATGTCCTGGAAATGCCACATCCTTAGATTAGCTAACCAAGACCAAGCGAGAATAGATGCACTGGAGAAACTTGACGACAACACTGTCTTGATAATTAACGACTGGGCCATGAAGTTCCTGCCACAGAAATACAGAGTCCCAAACCGACTGGTTTGGTAAGCGAGGTATCTCCTGGCACGTTTCTGTCGTCTACCGTCGTGTGAGCGGGGTACTCCAGTGGCAGGGCTTTCTGTACATAGTCCAGTCGTGCAATCAAGGCAGTGCTGCAGTGGTTAAAATCATGCAGGATGTCCTGAATACCATCAAGCTGGAGCACAGTGAGATTAGCAAGGCGTTCTTTCGCCAAGATAACGCAGGATTTTTTTTTTTTTTTTTTTTTTTTTTTTTTTTTTTATCGTTAGTATGTTTATTTGATTTTCTTATATGGAATGAATGATTTACGGAGATGTTGTGGTTCAATTTTATCCTTGGTTCAAATTTTATTTTCCCCTGCTTCAAACTCATTATCAAACATTACAATACCCAAAAACAAAAGAAAACAAAATTTGAACCAAGAATAAAATTGAACCACAACAGAGATAAGTTAACATGATGTGATCTACAAACGTAGAAAATTAATCAAGCCGAAGGAACACTTTTGGTCCCGGTCCGCATTTTCGTCTACAAAATAAACACATACCGCTTAAAAAGATTTTTTTTTTTTTTTTTTTTTTTTTTTTTTTTTTTTTTACCCCTAAGTTTTTTATTTATTTACTTTTTTATTATTTAAATTTTGTTTTTATTTTATTTTGTATTTTTTAAAGAGAGTTGAGATATTTTAACCGCATTTGTCAGGAGCTAGTTATTGACGGTATTTTCAATTAGGTCCCTTTGGTGAACTGCATTCACAAAGTCGTGGAGGACAATGGGCTTGTTGTTAAGTTTACAACTATAGATATAATAACGCATGAATAGTGTGACGTAGTCGAATTTCTTGGTGGTACTATTCTCGTTTAAGTTGGAGGTAATTCCGAATAAAAAGTTCCTCCGTAGTTGGAGAGAACTGTGAATTGTACGTTGTGTTAAACCACCGAATGACTTTCTGTATGAATGATTTCGTAAAGGGACAGTGAATAAAGGTGTGATCGATTGAGTCTTTTTGCCCACAAAAGCAGCATTCTTCGTCAGTTTTAATACCATATTTGAATAGTTCTCTTTGTCACCTCCTTTGAAGCCCTTTGAAAAACAGGTTTTTGGCGATGTTTCTAGTGGTGACTGTAAAATGACACGGCAACATCGTAAAATCGCTGCGGAGATTTCAGCTTCTAAATCAAATAATAGGAAACGTAAAGTTACAAAGGACTGATTCACAAAATACTATCATATTTCATCTAACACCTCACAGAACGCTCTTAAGCTGCTCGTGACGTTTCCTACTGAATGAACTCTATTTAGACGCAGTAGCTTTGATGTGCATTAACATGAGTAAGCAATATAACGATTAAAATTGTTCTCATATGAATGAAATTTTTCGGTAACCAGACAAGCAATGCAATGCAATGGCAATGCGAATGATGTATCCGGTGCAAATACAATTTAATAGTCTACGCGTGTGGGAGGCTGCGTCTTCGAAAATTTGAACCTGTTGGGATATTTTTCCTAGAACTATTACATCACGTTAATTATTCATCGCTAAAGGAAGATCCTTCTATAAAAATAATAATAAAAATATAATTTGCGCTAACCTAGTAACTCAGCAATACTCATACTTGTAAAATTACTTGGCTTGTCACACACTTCTATCATCTCGCCGCGCCCCCAAATCTTTGCGTCTAAATTGTAAATATTTTATGCTGTGGTTAAATAAGATAATAAATTATTAAGCAGTCAAATCATCCTGAAAAACCTTGAATATATGGCGAAATATTTCCTGGAACTGTAGTATCAGATGGGGTTAGGTGTTGATCCCAAAACCTTTTAAGTAGTTAAAACGCTGTGACATCTCAACCAATCATAAAGCTAATTGCGGTGTACACGTCAGCAGCGCATGCTAATGGAAAGCCTACAAGATATATGAAGCCCCGGAAAACTAGCTTCTAGTCACACCTTTCATTACACTCTAGGGCCTCCTTCATAAAGCTTTGCAACCATGTCAAACCAAAAGACAAAGGGAAATACTACTTTCCTCTTTACCTCTGAGTCTGTTGGCGAAGGACATCCTGGTAAGTTGTACCGTTTCAATTCATCGTTTAACTTTTTAAGCGCAAATTTTCCACAGCTGAACGCTGGCGGAAGTTGACGTTTTCAAGCTAAAACGAAAGTGTACTTTGTCTCTATAGATAAACTCTGCGATCAGGTCTCAGATGCTATTCTCGATGCTCATCTCACACAAGATCCAAATGCCAAAGTCGCATGTGGTAAGTTACAGAAATAAATTGTTGCATGATTAGCGTCTTAGAAAGTCAAATCGAAAGTTCTTAGGAAATCAAAATTGGAATCTCTTTCTTTTGGTTTCACCACCCAGCACCACAAAGTTTTTCCGAAAACGCCACCGAAGCAAGGTATACTTTCGCTGAATAGGTCTGGACATAATACAAATAATTCCGGGAATTTTGTTACGTGAGATAGAAAAAAAACATATCTCCTGTTTGGATTTGATCCAAAATGATTCGCGTTTCAATATTTCTCAATGGCAAATGGACCTAAAGATTTCGATTTTGATTATGTCGCGTTGGTTTACGTTAGCTCAATAACCAACTGTGAACCTAGACAGGAGAGTACCTCGAGGATCAACCTATTTTCGATGGCTAAGTGATATTCACCGATGTTCTACACTAATAAGATTTAAAAGGGCGAAGATGAATTTGGAAGCTGAAGGAAACAACATCAGTCAGTCAGTCAGCACCCAATCAGGTGCTGGCAAGATCATTTCCAGTCAAACCTGTTTAGCCGGTGGAAATAGAAGCCTTCCGGCCTACAATAGGCTCAAAGATTCTTCACATCATGTGTTCACAATGCAATCTTTGTTTAACAGTTGGTTCTCTAACAACTCTAACTTCTTGAGGAAAATTTTGCACGTGCACATTATGAAGCACGCTCACGCAATTGAATTTGATTAGACAAATTTACTACCTATGTTATAATAGTTATTGATGGTTGACGTGCGTGTGATAGACAGGTATTGATTTGAAATGTTTGCTTATGAACAGAAACTGCGACTAAAACAGGCATGGTTCTTATTTGCGGTGAAATCACATCGACGGCTGTTGTGGATTATCAGAAAGTGACCCGTGACACAATCAGGAAGATTGGATATGATTCCTCGGAAAAAGGTTAAAAATTATTCCCTAAGCTGATCACTAGACTCTTTTTATTGGAGATCAAATATTATGCATGAGCAACTCCTTGAGTTTCAACAACAATCGACTCTTTCAGGATTCGACTACAAAACCTGCAGTGTCCTGGTTGCCCTCCAACAGCAAAGCCCTGACATTGCCGGCGCTGTCCATAAAGACAAAAATGAAGAAGATATCGGCGCCGGTGATCAGGGTCTCATGTTTGGCTATGCCACTGATGAGACAAAAGAACTCATGCCCCTGACTGCTGTTTTAGCTCACAATCTAAACAAGAAGCTTGCTGAGAAGAGACGAGATGGATCTATGCCCTGGCTCCGACCTGATTCCAAAACACAAGTTACCATCGAGTATGATGGAAAAATGGGTGATGGTGTAATCACACCTCTTCGAGTCCATACTATCGTTATTTCTACCCAGCACCACCCTGACATCAAATTAGAAGAAATGAGGAAGCAACTGAAGGAGAAAATTATTGACGTACTATGATTTTCCTACTTCTAAGTATACTTAACTGAATTTTACAAATCAATTGTGCATTTCTAATCACCTTTTAAGCTAGATTTTTAAATCGGTTTATTGCTAATGAACTGCGACGGACCCAAACCTTTCAAAAAAATCCAAGCCAGTCCAAAGCGAAGCATTTTCGCTCTAAAATATTTTCTTTCCGTCTGTAGCAAAGCACAATAGAAAAAATACATTTGAACAGACTGGGGAAATAGTTATGTTTGAGGGAACTGTTATAGTTTTTCTATTTCAGAAAAACACGACTAATATAAACCTATCAGCAACCAGTAGCATTTGGCCATACATATATTGTGTGGGTGCACTTTTCAAAGCCCATTTTCCCCTTTTTACCAAATCGATTTTTCCAGGAAGTCGTCCCTGCCAAATATCTTGATGACAAAACAATTTACCATCTGCAACCTTCTGGTACATTTGTGATCGGAGGCCCCCAAGGTGACGCAGGTTTGACAGGAAGGAAGATCATTGTCGACACCTATGGTGGATGGGGGGCTCATGGGGGAGGTGCTTTCTCTGGGAAGGACTTCTCTAAGGTTTGTTTCCTTGATATCCTTTCCTTCTGAAACAGTTCACTGAGTCTCTGCCTCCAAAATTAGCTTTATTTTACCTTTAAGACTCTTGAAAATATTAAAATACTTTTCTCATAACCATCAAAACATGTTTATGTAAAGGTTTGGATTTGACTGAAAATACAGAGCCATTTATCCGAATGGGAGCAGCAAATTAATCCATTTTTTTTTTCTGTTAGGTGGACCGATCTGGTTGTTATGCCGCCAGGTGGATTGCTAAGTCTCTTGTGGCAGCCGGGCTGTGCCGCCGAGTCTTGATCCAAGTCTCGTATGCCATCGGTATTGCCGAACCTCTTTCAATCTCTGTGTTCTCTTACGGAACAGGCACGATGTCTGAAGACGAGCTCTTGGAAATTATTAGGAGAAACTTTGATCTTCGTCCTGGCGTGATAGTCAGGTGTGAACTGAAAATTTTTATATGGCGGTGGATAGGTTTTTTTTAGCCACCTGACAAGCTTTTTTTCGTATATACTTACTATCATCTCAATGTCTTACCAGCTCTTCAAGCTTAATAGATATTGTCACTTTTCTACTACTGGCATTTTATGAATTATATATCTGTTTGTTGTTCTACAGGGACCTTGACTTAAGGAGGCCCATCTACCAGGAGGCATGCGTCTACGGTCATTTCAAGCCAGGTTTTTCCTGGGAAGTACCTAAGGAGCTGGCTCACTAGATGACTGAGTTTACCAAGGCAGAGCAGAAAGTGCTCGATAAGAGTGGTCTCTTTGAAGCAATTAAGATTGATTCAGCCTAGTACTATAATAACTACCGAATTTTAATGATAACGAATGACAAAAATAAAAGGATCGAGACTGAAACCATGTCAAACGGAAAGTAACTGTCCATGGTCGATTCAATGAATGAAATAAAAATATCTTCACAGGTATCGAAAAGAGTCATCTCATGGTGCATTAATAGGTGATAAATTTTGAACAGTTTTCATTTATGTGTTTACAGTTCACAAATATTCCTCTCTCCATTTCTTCACATACATCAATTTTGGTAAGAACCTTGTCCCATATTCGTGACGGTAATCACGGATGTATCACCTGAATTTCGGTGAAGGGTGACGAGTTGGTATAGTTATGGGAAGACTATTTACCAAATTTCTAAGATTCACAGCTCATAGCTCACCACAGTCTACTAAAAGTAACTCTTGAGTGAATAAAAAAAAGTATTAAAAACCTAAGTAAAGTTAGATGGATATCAAGAGCGAGCTAAGCACTGCTCTATTTGTTCCAAAGTACTATCGCAGGAAATACCCAAAGGCTATGAAATACCCCACGTCGTATACCGAATTACTGTGATCTGAGTTGAGCAAAGTTTGCATTTCCCTGCAGACCTTAAAAAGTTATTGAGAAAGTTGAGAAGGAGAATAACTAGTACAAAATGGTTTTCCAAAAGAGATGATACAAAACTACATCGTTGGAGACTATATCTGGGAAGAAATCAGACAAGGTTATAACGATCCCTAAACACGGCACCTATCTACTTCCTAGAACTGGGTTCCAAGCCTAAAGAAAACAATCAATTTCAATATGAGGATCCATCCAATATCAAAAATCTAATTTTGTATCTTCTTTGATCGAACCATATTTTCACCAACCATGAAGCCATTTTACATCAGAAAATTAATCGTAAGAGGAGAGGGAAAAAATGAAAGTAGGCATGAACCAATGTTCGAGGTCATCCATATGGTCCTGAAAGATGCTTTTTTAGTTTTCTTGTTTTGATGCGCAATGGAGTTTTTGTGAACCCGACCTATTTTGATGTGTGGCCGTAGAAACTCGTTCCAGTCTTAATCAACTTTTCAATCTGGTTTATTTAATTCACGAAAAACTGGTTTCACCAGATGTCTCCAGTTTTTGGTGGAGTCAGTTCTTTCGCTTTTCTTCGAACAGCGACATTCATAACACGTCAAAGCTGTCGCAGGCTATCGTCATCTCAAATCGGTGAAGCTATGAAGCTCTATAGCGACCGAGGGAATCCATCCTTGCTTCGTATTTTAGCAGCAAAAAATCTAGCGGATGTTTCAATGACGATACAGTACATCACGAATGAAGGTATCAGCTATTTTCTAACACTGCTAGTCCAGAAGTGAAACCAGAATTTTAGTTAATGCTTCGTGTACAAATAGTAACAATGATTTGACGATTCTGGTCTACTGGAGTCCAGGATAAAAGCCACTTAGAATTTACATTTTCTGTAGCAAATTTCTAGAGGTAATTCTATTATTTGTTCAGGTCTAAATTTCTTCCTCAACTTAATCTTGGCTTTTCAAATTACAACGCCTCCCCCACCCCATCCCCAGGGAAGGGATGATGCAAGAGTCTGACGCATCATAGTACAGATGTTCAAGACTTCCAAGAAACCTTGTGATTAGTCTATTTAATATTTTATGTGGATTTGGTCAAACGTAGATTATGACTTAGCTTTCAAATCCTCTTGTAACATCGATGTTTTTACTATAAACCCTAAATTCTTGGAAATCCTGCGTTGCATTTGTTTAAGCTGAAACCACAAAGTTACTTAAGTGCACCGCATAATGCAGAGCTACCTGGAAGAAACAGTGAAACACTAATTGACAAGGTGCTACAAAACAAAAATGTGACAAGAAGACACGAATCGAATGTAAAGTAATATTAGTAATTTTGAAGAACTACAGTTTATATTTAATTTAGTATAAAACTCTCTTCTACTGCCCGTACCAGACTAAGTGAGATTTTAAGATACTCCGTACACCTGAAACCAAAATGAAAATGCTTAGAGCTTTCTGAAAAAAGTTTTTTCTACTCGATCCTTTTCGACTCGATCCTTTCAAGTTTAAACGTTCGAAGTTTACTCCGCAGAGTCCACAGTCAGCATTACAGACGTTAATTGCGAAAATAGGTTAATTGACGATGGCGAATGCGAGTCTTAAAGCTCCTAAAATCATAGTCGACGAGAGCTGTCGATAAAAACTGACTTCATAACTCAGTTCAGGAAATTTCTCATCACAGCATTTTGTCTTTTAAGGTGGTCCTTTTTTCACTCGTATAATTTTCACAGCACGCGCTTTTAGTGAAAAAACTGTCCTTTATTTTCTTTCTGTCGCTGAGTTCCAGGAAAAACTGGAACTTAGAACAAAAATGTATTTATAGTAGATAAGCTGTCACGGAATTATCCTTGACAGCTTCTTAGAAATACACCTGACCTTTCTTTTGAAAAGCGATGAGTACGTGCGCACGTAAAAAAGTATAAAACTAGGGAATTTTGTCAAGGTAAAGCCAGCAATCAATGGCTTTCGTTTTATTCGAGGTACTTTGAACATATCGACAAACACTTATGTGTACATATTTTTCTGAGATTACAATCAGAACTGTATTTCCGCTGAAAAGGTATAGACATGTTGAGATTACAGTATATTGGCGGTGATGTGATTTACCATCAAGATGGAACATAACCTCTTTGTAACACAGTTATGGAGCGCCACTGTGCCCATAGATGCTTCTTGTCTCATAAGTCTAAGACAGAGACCTCGAAAAATTTCTCAGTTCTTCGAAATGCAACGTGGAAATAAGCGAATGACCAATAACGCGATGGAGTTCCTAATGATGTCGGAAGTTTCTAAAAGGTAACTGCGTAGTGAATTATTTGCAAATTTGGTTAATTTCACTTAGGGTGAAAATACGATTCCACGTAATCTTGAAGAAACAATTTAAATACACAGAAACCACGATTCGAGCGTAACGTCTGCACTGGTTTTATGACTGGAGTCGTCGTTGGAGCTTTTCAAGTGAGGAAACACTCATTAATTTTCAACGAGAGCCACAACTTCAAAGACGAAAATTAACGCCAATTTAAAGCAGAGCAACTTTGTTTTAAAAAATATCGAACGTAGACAGCTGTAAATGAAAAATTGTGCGGTTCAAATCGGCACATTGTAGAAGAGGTACTCAGCATTTAGATCCCAATTTGTTGAAACTATTTTTCAGAATGCCTTAAGGTATTAAAGCGAAACAGTAATTCGTTCCGCACCTGTGTCGAAATTGAGGTGCTTCTTTTGGGAAATAGAATCTTATTCAATTACGATTACTTACGAGTTATACATTGATCTCGGTGACTTCCCATGTACCAATCAATATTGCTTGTACGCAAAAATTGCATTTTAAGCCTCTTCCTTCAAAGGCATTTTGCTTACTCAAGGGATAATCAGAGATTGATTTTCGTGAACAGCTCGAGCATACTGTTACGTGGACTTTCATTGACATGTGAGACAGTGTAACGCTAGACGTAACATGCGTATGCTATCGTCAACAAGCTAACTGCGCATGCTTCCGACGTGTCATATTTTCAACCTTGACATCAGAAAATGGTCTTTAGATGGATGGCGGATTTCATTACTTTAACTTGCGCAGTGTAATGCAGGCTTTTTAACATTTCTCATATGGAAATACAGAACCTCTGTAGTCAGTATAAACGTGATTTTTCCATAGTTCAGGCAAAGATTAGAGGTTGATTCAACTTAAGAAAATGAAATTGGCAGTGAGCCACTGAAATAAATATCCGAAATGATTCGGCAAAATTGGGGAGCGGTTAACACCTCCTTATCATGAAACTTGAGCCGAACACCGAAGATATCGGCATGGTGTGTCAAATAAAAGTGTAAAACATATTCGATGAAAGTAGATATAAATGATTCGGCAGTATCGATTATCAAAATCAGTTTAATTTGCATATTTCAGACACGTACGCCTGGCCAATATTCAGTTGACTGATCAACGGCTCAATATTCAACGTAAACCTAACACATATTAAGCGACTTTGTTTTTAAGGCGAGAAATTTTCTAAGTTTTCAGGCAGTTTCAGTGCAATATGAACGTCGCGTGACGGAAATAATCAGATCTTGTAATTTTATAATGGCCAGACATGATTGGCGTGAAATATGACTGAAAATATTATTTGAACTTTACCCTTTTAACTCCTTTAGCTTACTAGCTTTTTTAAATGACATTTTCTTTGAACACTGGGTATAGCTGTTGGGTGTAAGATTACTGATTCAAACATTATGTTTTTTTTTAAACCAGATAGGGCGAAATTCAATCTTCAAGGAAGTAGCAAGGTTTGTATTATTACACTTTCTTTTATAAATAAGAGCTGCACTTCTCTCAATAGAATTTCCTTTCTTAAACGATCTGAAATGATTGATATTTTATCATCCAAAAATTTTGGTGATTTTCAACAATGACATGCTTGAATTGCAATTAGATGTCTGATATCATAAACAACCGGACAGAACCATCAGACTAAGGAATTGTTTAGGCAAAAGCCAAACATATTTCGACTGTCTAAATCATGTGAACTATTAGCCCAAACACAACAGAGTGCATACTCCCTGCCCCTCTAGTAGAAAAACTTAAGCTGGTGTTTGAGTTCCCGACTCAGCCAATGGTACAAAACACTAACGGGTATCAGTGCGGATGACAGTTATTATGCACAACCTAGGGACCAAATAAGAGGGATTTAACAGTGCTTTTGGCATTCATTTTTTTTTCAACTTTTTCTTCATTATGGCTTGTCTTAAATAGCTTCCAGTGCTGGAGACTGACGATGGAAATTTTCTACACAGTCCAAACAGCATTTGCAGGTATTCATGCCTCATACGGTCTTCATGTATTGAACAATTTATCCTTTTTATTAAATGAACCGTCTTCCCTTGGTTAAAATATTCGATTTTAGGAAGGGTAAGAAGAAATGATCAAAAACCGCTTAAGATGATTCACACGTTTTGGGTTCATCAAGGATGTTGAGCTCATACATTTCAAACTTAAGAACTAAAAGCTAAGACACTTTGATTTTGTTTCGTGGTTGGTTTCCTCAAGGTAATTTTCACTTAGATTACCTAGCCCCAAAGAAGTTCAGTATTCAACATTGAATTCCGTACAAGCACGACTGCATGACATATCGGGTTGGCTGACATTTACAAGTCGTGCAAGTTTTGTTGTTAACTCTCACACATTTGAGTCAACCACCTCTATTAACTGAGGGAACCCCAGGGCCATTTCCAGTTAACGTAATTTGTGCAGTAAACCAAAAAAAATTCCGAACATAGGATTCTGGCGCTATGCTTAATCTGTGGGAGGCAGGTTACTTCAAGGTTATAATCTGATCTAATCTACGGACCAACCTAAAAAAGATTAACCTGAGATTTATGACATTGGTTATAAAGTTGATTTCACAGGTGGATCCAGTTCAATAATAGCAAGTTAAGGGTAAGAGTAATACCTATTGTTAATGTAAATGAATGTAAATGAATGTAAATGAACATCATTGTTCGACTCCGATACTGATCACTTACCCTGTTTATATAGGTACCTCCTTGACCTCAACAGAAGCTCAGATGTAGCTTCCGACCCTTATAGGAAAGCAATTGTTGATCAGTGGGTGGAGTGGGAGAGCACGTCTTTGCAGGTAAGTTGTTGCATAGAGTGAACATATATGAAAGAAAAGGTGGTCAAGAGTATTGTATGCCGTTCTGTGAATCCAGTGGCTAAGCTCTGGTCCCTGGGCAGGGTCATAGTGCTCTGTTCCCGGGAAAAGATTTAAGTTTTCCTACTCTTTATGTTCGCCGAGGAACATTAAAAGGTACCTTAAGTGATGCGCCGGGAAAGATACCCGTGATGCGAGTCAGACCTCACCCTGAAAGAGTACCTATGGTTATAATCATCTAAACATCTGTCAGATTTTTGCTGAGTCATTTACCATTTTATCTGGCAGCCTGTTATCTTCAATTATCTTGTAAAGTCCATTGGCCAGGGAAGGGATTGCAGTGGCCATGTCGACGATCTGGTAAATCTCCTAAGACATGCAGATGAAGCTCTTGCTTCCAAGAAGTACTTTTCTGGGGTATGAATTTCATAAAACTTTTTTTTACACCTTTGGTTACTTCTTCCGTAACTCATTGATCACACCCCTTAGCACAGTTTCCTTCTTTTGGACTTTAACTTAAAAATCACAACTATGTGGAGTTATACACTTTTAATTGAAATGAGTGCTCCTACTAAACAAATCGCCATTCCTTGACTTTCCAGAGTCACATGGGGCTAGCTGATGTCATCCTTTGGGGTTCTCTGCACCCTCTCTTCATGGAGGGCACAAAATATTCAGGTATTGGTGAACATCTGCTTTCTTTGTGTCTTCAGAGCTTGCTCCAGCCGTATGGTCTGGATTAGCTTAGCCATGAAATTGATTTAGTTTTCTGAGACTCGTCACGAAGGGTTAAAATAAAACAGAGTATCTACTACGAATGCAGAATTCCCAGCTATGTTTGCTCTGTGATTTTGTGTGCCAGTAGATTGGAAAATCATGAAATTATGGTTTGTAAAAATTTTCTCTCTTGATCAAACAGATCCAGGCATCTCAAACTTAAAAAGGTGGCACAACCTCCTCATGTCTCAGGAGCTTTTCCTCAAAACTGAATTTGAGGTTGCAGGAGGAAAAGAAGTTTCTTCCTTTAAGGTATGCACACGAATAAATCTAGCTATCCATTTTTGATACATCTTATATATTATACAGAAATGAGATTTATATCTCTCTGCGGTTTTTGAGTATACTCATTTGAAACACTTATAGATGGCATGTATTCAGATCACTTTTATATTACAACTTATGGATGGCGATATGCAGAATACAAGTCCTAATGAAAGAGTACTGTTCCTTATATACTTTCGCAACTACTTGATACTGATCGGGGTTCTTTTTTGTCGCAGGATGCTTTGTTGGCAATGCTTGACGCTCAAGAGCAGTTAGCAAAAAGTAAACATAGATGTGAAATATTTATTGACTTAGAGAAATTAGAAATTAATTGAAGCGATAACATCAAAATATGGTAGTAAAATATCAGAGGATATACTTTCATATTGCATGGAAAGTTGTTTATTCAAATGGATTTCAGCAAATGTAAGTGGGATCATTCCTTGTCACTTCAATTCGGGTCCAAATTCACCACATCGTAAACTGCATGTGGTGAATATATCATCACATTCGTCACGAGTTACATAACCCTTTAGCCCCTAAGAGTGACTAGCATCTAATTTCTTCTTACCATATCACCCCTGAATCAAACAAGGAAGTCATAAGAATAGAGGAGATGATCATCAACTAAAGCAGCTCTTAATTGTTAAACAAATTCTCCTTGTCAGCCTCTTTGAAAATGTACGGAGAACAGTATGGAGAATATTCATACTGATGTTAGGGTGTGAAGGGGTTACAACAATTCTACCGATTAGTAAAATCAATTATTTTTCATGCTGATAGTATTTGCTTAAACTGTAATACTGAACGTGATATGTATGCAAATTGTTGTAAATAATGATAGAAGTAACAATGATGTAATAGTCAATAATGATTCTGATGCTAATAATAAAAAGTAAAGATAATAGTGAAATTTTCTGCTAAAATAGGTTCCCCATCATCCCAACGAGATCAAGAGGGTGATTCTGCCACAGAGGAGGTGAGCTAGGGTACTAGATCTTAAACATAGATTAATCTATCATATTCTCATACTTTGCTATAGTAAGTTCTGAAATTTTAATTTTAGGCAAAAATCGCAGAGGCATTTTTTTGCTTCTGAAACCAAAAGAAGTATTCTTTAGTTAAAACAAACCAAGTTTTTTTTGTCTCTCCCTTGAATTAACGAGCAGATTTCCATTTGAATGGCATCCATTTAAGAAATAGATAAATGAATAGAGAGTAGAATATCAGCTTTTTTAAACTTTATGGACCACATGAAGTAAAAGCTGAACATATTCTTCTACCTAAATTTGATGAATGTCTGTTTAAAAAAAGAGAACTTATGTCATTGGCGAGACTATTTCTGATTAAATGATTCTCGTTCATTAGTTAGCATCCAATGAGTTCATTTTGAGTTAAGCTGATCTTAGTTATATCGGCCAATCGCAAACTATCTGGGCTGGGCTACTTAAAAGTGTGATGGAGAGATTATAGGGGACTTACGAACAACTCAGCTGGTTTATCGTACCTCTCAACGAATGGATTATAGCAAAAAAATATATTCGGATACTTACACTTTATTTTTTTTCAGGGAACTATTGCCAAAGTTTTGTCGAGGGAAGAGATTGCTGACGCTTTTGAGCATTGGAACAATGGAAGCAAAAACCTTCCGAAAACCCGCCGGCTTGTGGATCCTATGTAAGCACATGTAGACTCTCTTTAAAGGAAAATGCATTCTTGAAGCTTGGAGAACGTTGTAAACTTGTCTTTAGTTAGTAGTACTTGAAACATGAATACAAGACTTACTAAATATTGTGTTGCCTCTGCCTCTCGCAGTCTTCCCATCGAAGGAGAAAGAAACATTCTGATCACCAGTGCCTTGCCCTACGTAAATAATGTGCCTCATTTGGGGAATATCATTGGGTGTGTCCTCAGTGCAGACGTATATGCCAGGTACTTTAACCTTCAGGCGGCACGCCTCTAACCTTTAAGCCGGTTTACTTTGGAAAAAGAACCTTTCCACACTTTGGCCTCTGTTCTTCCATGAATTCGTCGATTTGTAATGTTCTAACTTTTGCAAGAACTTGCAAATACCGAGAAGTTACATCTGTTCAGTGCGGTTATCTCTGGCTTGATAGTTCTTAATTTCAATATGCATATGAGATCGGATATAGTTCTGATGAGATTTTCCTTGTCATTCCTGGATCAAAATAGCTTTTACTGTGCACTATTTCTTGCGTTCATTGCTCTACAGGTTTTGCCGCCTTCGTCAGTACAACACACTTTACATCTGTGGGACGGATGAATACGGCACAGCCACAGAAACCAAGGTAATTATACTGAACGTCATTACTGAAAGGCAGGCATGCAAAGATGAAAACATAGTCACAACAGTTATACGCCAATATGCAAATAAGGAAAAACCATGTAATGGAGAAAAGGTTTTAATGGTTTTGTGGTCATTTAGGCTTACATTTTTAATTTGTAAAATTATGCACGAACCCCACACTAAGCATTCAGCGTGATTATCGGAACTCCTGATATTGTGAAGATAACACTTATTTTGTTGCTCCTTATGCCAGGCGTTAGAGGAAGGTCTTACACCCCAACAAATATGTGACAAGTACTTCAAGATTCACAAAGAAGTCTACGAATGGTTTCAGATCAAGTTTGACTTCTTTGGAAGGACAACTACTAAGCAACAGACTGAGTGAGTTTAATTTTGGATGCGACATCTTTTTCCCTGGTTCTTGCTCTTATCTCTTGCATCCTGAAGACTACCTTTTGAGGTTTTGGATGTGGTTTTTGCTTTTTTTCCCTGGTTCTTGCTCTTATCTCTTGCATCCTGAAGACTACCCTTTGAGGTTTTGGATGTGGTTTTTGCTTTTTCGCTCTTGAGAGTCTTATATTTTTTTTTCCACAGACGTGTCACCTTCACTTTTAAATTTCAAAGTTCAATTTCTGAGGAAGAAATCAGATATACTCTCGATATCCCTGCCAACTGATTCCTGTCGATCTAACACAAAATTTTCCTTTTTCGAAACACAATTTTAACCACTTATTAAAGGAGAACTTGAATATGGATTTTTACGCAAGCAGCATAGTACGGCATATAAACTCAACAGCTTTGAATTATTGAAAATATTGCTGACGATCAACGAGATTCATATGCAGCTGGGCCGTATCGCCATACCGCGAAATTCACTGTCTGAATTAAGCGTTATAGGTTAACTAGGTAAATTAATCATGATTGATTAAATCAACTATGAAATGCCAAATGCATTTAATTGAATATACAACGTATGGTACTGTCACAAAGGCTCTCCGATCTACATGGGAAAGGTGATGAGAACATGCTGCTTCTAAAGGGTTAGTTTTTATCAAATGTTTGAAAACGGTGATCTTTTTTACTCCCAGAATCGCCCAAGACATTTTCTGGCGACTCCAAAAGCAAGATCACCTAGTTGAGGACACTCTGGAACAACTTCAGTGCGTGGAATGCAAAAGGTTTGACTTTCACTGATCCTTATGCGTAGGACTAAATTCAACTATTTAGAGACTTTTCAAGTTCGATGTCGTAATATTTTACCTTTACAAACACGTAGAACTAATATGAACCCAACCGGAACCGAGTATAGTCAAGAGAGACGATGTACGCTATAATAGTAAGCAAGTCACTGTCGCTTTGGTATTGGTTTTTATTCATCCAGTTCCGGTAAGAGACACAAGTCCTCGAGCACTGCAGAGAAACGAGCGTGAATTTGGGCTATGATGACGCATCTTTATAACTTCATTTTTCAAACATTGCAGTCCGTTCTTCCTCCAGGTTTCTTGCTGACCGTTTTGTTGAGGGTACATGTCCCTTCTGCAACTATGAGGTAAGCCATATTATTTTCATGTTAACTAAGTCTAAAAGAATTACACTGAGATATATCTTCTTTTCAGCCCTTATTCCTCCAACCTCCGAGTTTTATATTGATTTGCTACATACTACGTCTTGTGGTTAGCCCTGACGAAGTACAGGTACATTGCATGGTCTAGTAATCGTGTTTACATTTGCAGGGCGCTAGAGGAGATCAGTGTGATTCCTGTGGAAAGCTTATTAACGCTATCGAGCTTAAGGTAAAGGAGGTTTTATTCTATTGTGAATGTACCGAAGACAAAAGGCCAGAAAAAAATTTATATACCTCACTTTCGAGTCATAAATTGATATATCTAGCGAGTTATTTTCAAAAATAACGTATAAAACGTGAGAATCTCTAGTTAAATCTACGTGCAAAGTGACATTTACATCACGAAGATACTGTTAGGCGTATAACTACTCCGTTTTTATCCTTAGTAGCAAGAAGTGTCTGATTGATCCATGTTCATCATTGTATTGTCTCCTTAAACACCACTAAGGTAAATTTGCTTTCAGAAACCTCGATGCAAGGTTTGTGGAGGAACATCAAAAGTGAGAAGCAGCAAGCACCTGTTTTTGAATTTGACCAAGGTAACTGTTCAACAAGAGTGTGCGATATCGTAAAATGTGCCAAACTCCAACAAAGCAATAAACTTATCCAATCTACCACAGAAACAAAAACTCATTAAATTCCATTCCATGCGAACACAACAAAAACTCTCTTGAAATCTTCGCTCACGCGTCGTTGATTTAACTCAAAAAGCTTGGGGCAAATTACGAAGTGCGTCCGCATACTCTCTTATCTGCAGTCTCCCACCTCTATGCAGGACGAGGCTACGTACAGACTGTCCACGATCAAAAAAAAATTTTCCATATATAATGTCACTGGTTCTAAAGTGCATACTTTTATGCCTTTCAGTTGGAATCGTCCTTGAAGACCTGGATCGACAAATCTTCTTCTGAAGGTAACCTGAAGAGTTCTATATGACCTGCCTAAAAAGCAATTCAATTGCATTCCACTTTGAATTTTCCTAAAGCATTCACAACTACAGTCTACATCTGGTTAATTCAAGTTAAACGCGATATTTTTTATATCATTTTTCTTGTAAGGAACGTGGACACCAAATTCTCGCCAGATAACTCAGGGTTGGGTGAAGGAGGGCCTTAAGCCACGATGCATTACACGCGACTTGAAATGGGGAACCCCAGTTCCTTTGGAAGGATACACAGATAAGGTCTTCTACGTGTGGTTTGATGCACCAATAGGGTGAGTCAATAAGGTTTTTTGTTATGAAGTGACATTAAATGGCATTTGTTTTGTGGTGAAAATTTTTATGTACAACGGTTAATTTCTAACGATAAACTTCTGCTTGCGATACTTTCCTCTTCTCTAAAGTGTGTGGCTATGATCGGCTCTAAAGGCAATCTCAAGACTTTGCACTTTTTTGTTTCAGGTACCTTTCGATCACAGCAAACTACACCAACGAGTGGGAGAAATGGTGGAAAAACCCTCAACAAGTGAGTCATAGGAAAATACCAACTCAGTTGACAAGGCTGTATCTCAGTATTGCATGTCATTATGACTGTTGCTATAGCTACATTGCGGCCGAATAAATTCTTGAAATTAAACAATGATAATCAAGAGTTGATGTGCATAAGCACAACTATAAATCTGAGCCCTATTTGAAATATTCGGCCATAGCAATCCTAAAACTTTTTCATTTCTTTCTTGAGGTTTAATGAACGCTATCGGTGAAGAGCAAAGCGACTCACAGGAATCGATGCTCTCGGTCATCTTTAACTGTTTTCATTCGTTTCTAAGGCTCGAACAAAGCCTCGACACTTTAAAGTTATTATCATAAGGTTTTCGAAACTGCTTGAGCAGCCTTAGGTCAGGTTACGATCTCATTAATGATGAAAATGGAATTCTTTCAGGTCACTCTTCATCAGTTCATGGCAAAGGATAATGTCCCTTTCCACACTGTTGTGTTCCCGTGCACTCTCATTGGTGCAGACGACAACTACAGTCTTTTGAATTCCATCAGCGCAACAGGTAATATAGATTTCCACGTTCCCTTTACCTGTCGTTCTACTTGAATTGAAAACTTTCTTTTTCACACCGTTGACTAAAAGTGATTTGTTATTCTGCATACGTAAAGCCTAGGCCAGCTTTTTCGAAAGCGGCTGGCATAACTGAGTTAATTACAAACTTGGTTTGAAATATGTTTTATTGAGGCATTCATGAGACACCTTTTTGTGGGATTTATATCATTGGTATCTAAAATTAAAAGGAAACAAGAAGAAAAAAAGGAATTGACGGCAAGAGCTTCAAAATCAAATATAACATTTAATATCGAAATGTTTTATTTTTGAACATTTTTAAAAATGAGTTAAATATCAGAAATGTACAGCCTGGATTTTTTTTTAAGCTGAGTCCTGCAAAACTGTTCCATAGATTTTATGACTGTCTTAAGATATGACAACATGCCCGAAACGTAGCGAGATTTAGGCTACTAGGCTGAAATAAAATATCTCATTAAGTTATCTCCCTTTTCTTCCAAGAATACCTCAATTACGAAGATGATAAGTTCTCCAAGAGTCGTGGAGTGGGGGTGTTTGGTGACGATGCAGCCGACACAGGCATACCAGCAGATGTGTGGAGATTCTATCTGGTTTTCGTCAGGCCCGAGAGCCAGGTGAGGCACTTCGTCTCTCTTTAGAACAAGAAACATAGCCATCCATCATTTTAAACTTAACCGTTTCTAACATAGCCCAACATTTTGATCGTCGAAAAGCCGTTGGAACGTTCCTAAAGCAATGGAAAATCAACAACATTGCGGTAGCAACTGTCTTAAACGCGAACTTTTGAGAGGCGTTTAGGTATTGTTCCAGTTACGTTTCTCCGTCATAGTTTCTGTCATCATTCTAATATACTCGTTTTTCTTTTCTAAACAGGATAGTGCTTTCAGTTGGTCGGATTTCGTTGCACGCAACAACACTGAATTGCTCAACAACTTTGGCAACTTCATCAACCGGTATGTTTTCATTGCTGTAGTTTTAAAAACTTTATTGTTCCTTAGCTCAGCACTTATTTTTGTTGGTGATTCAAGTTTTTTTTAAAAGTAAAAAAATATTTTCCATTTTTAGGATCGTCTGTAACCATATGAAGATATTTATAACACCAGAAGACATGTCACGTGATCGATAAATTCTTCCTTTTTTTCAGCGCCTTGATGTTTGTCCAGAACAACTTTGATGGTTCTATACCAGCCATGGAATTGACAGACGATGACAAGAAGTTCATCGCACTTATCAACAAAGAGTTGAAGACGTATATCGATAATCTTGAGAAAATCAGGTAATCTATTTAGCTCTGAAGAAATTTACTGAAGATGAATTTTTCAATAAGCGGTTCATTGTTTGAAAGCGTCCCTCTTAAGGTAACATATGTATTGCAGTAATGAACGTAGTACATAGTTATTGCCACATTTGAGATAATCTTTTCCTTAGCTTTTTAACCCGGCTGCAGCGTATTATCTTCTCAATTTTTGAAGTCTCTTACGCCAAGCGATTCCTTGGTCGTTTAAACATATTTTAAATATTGCCACTATCCTGGGATGAAAATGTCTCCGTGAGAATAAACAATCTCTTGTCTTACAATGTCGCGATTATATTTCAGGCTTCGAGAAGGTTTAAAAGACGTGCTGAACATATCTAAGCTTGGTAATCAGTACATACAGTCCAACCAACCTTGGGTTCTCGTCAAGGGCAACGAATCAGAAAGGTACACGTGCTCAATATTAAATAACAAAGAATTCGCCTAAAAACCAATGGTAAGGAAAAGTTTCCTTTTTAGTCTCGCACCAGATTTAGGGCCTGGTACATCGAAATCCTTTCAGCTTTAATCATAGATCAACTTTTGGTATATTTTAAAGCAAACGAATACTCGATACCTTTGTCCCCTAAACGAATAGGTGTTCAGTCAGGTTTACGTTTCTTAGCTTTAACACGCTTAGTTGACCAGAAACAGGAAACCTTACAAATAATGGATAAGGTTTTGAGTAACTCTAAGTATTTCTCCTAACAAACGGGTTCTGACTGGGTTCAAACCGTTTTTTCGTGCCCATGAGTAAAAAGGTTAACCTGTCATAATGATTTAGATAATCTCACAGGAAATTGTTTGTGCCTTTAATAACGCAAGTCGTTGATCTCTTTTTATCATTTAGATCACGTGCAGGTACAGTCATAGGGATCACAGCCAACCTTTCCTGGCTGCTGTCTGTTCTCGTTCATCCCTTCATGCCCGGGGTCAGTGAAGAGATTCAACGCCAGTTACAGGTAGGTCTTACAAACTCTTTCGGGTTGCCAATTTACGTTATCAACTCAGTTGATATTACTAAATTACCCTTTTATCGCTCTGACGAATAGCTAACGCTCGAAACGTCAGCTTTGGAACTCTTTACGATGACCAAATTTACACTATCCACTCAGTTGATAATACTGAATCATCCTGTTATTCTCTCCCACCGATGCACCACGGTCTCTTTAGAACACTTACCTCCTTTACAGGAAAGTCTGTTCGGCACGCGATACAATTTGGAATTTATCAAGATTGTGTTGACTTTAAAAAACCGATTGAAATATAAATCTAATAAAAAGGGCTCGACATGTTGGTTATTGCTCCGCTTAAAGTTATACTGTCCGGCTTAATCTGTTGTATTCTTTGAATGTTTTTGCATTATCAATAATGATATACCTGAGAAAATGCATAGCCATCATATAATCATATGATCTTCCAAACCATTAAGTTTCAAGATGAATCTCTCTACGAAACGGCATTCGGTCAGATTTGAAAAAAGATTTAACTTATGTAGAGACACTTTCTCTCTACTTATTGCCTTTGGCGGGAAAAACTTATAGGATCGGCTATTTCTTATATTTTTCATTGTTTTTATTCAAAGTGAGGTTGGTAGAGTTTCTCAACAAAGTCACGGAGTCAATCAGACCGGAAATTACACATTAAGCCTGAGAACACATTTATTGCAGGGCTAAAGTAGCAGCTCCCAATCCTCGCTCGCAGCCCTTGAAGCGTCCTGGTACCCCTGTTACGTAAAGGTCATTAAAAAGGACAAGTGTGGGTGGTTAAAGAGTTTTGTAAGAATTGTTTGCCTCTCTTTTAATTGAAAAGACTTCAAACACAAGTCTTCCTTTGTTTGATAGGTCACCGACGAAGGCAATGTGGTGTTGGACAACTTTATTCCTTATCTGGAGACTGGTCACAAGATTGGAACGGTAAGAGCGAGTAAATAAGAGAGATAGGAGGAGATGCAAAAGAAAATACTTCCTTGCAAGGTTGTATCTGCCGCTACCTTTCACTTGAAGGGCCTGATAACAACAGACCGACGGGACTTTTCAGATAGCAGAGGAAATAAGTGTTCATTATCTTAACCCTTTAACTCCCATGAGTGACCAAGACAGAATTTCTCCTTGCAATATCAATACAATATCAAGCAGACATGTGATGAGAATAAAGAAAAATATCAATTTGGGTAAAATTAGTTGATCCAATACTACATTCTCTGAACTAACACTATAAGAAGTATATGGTTGACAGTAAGGAGAATTACAAATTTGGTCTGAGAGTTTAAGGGTTAAAAACTTGTTAAGAAGCGAGAAGTAGAGACGAGGCTGAACTTACAGGCCAAGCTGCGGACCGAAAGAGAGCAGCTCTTTCCATGCATACCCTTGTTTAGTTTCCTCTTCATCACCGTTATCATTGTCATCGTATCGCTTAATGTATCATCACCATAACTCACTATTACTATAATCAGTTTTGATGTCATTTGTATGCAACTCATCAATACTCTTTACACTTTCACGTAATTTTCGACCAATCAAAAGTAAATCCTTTAATCCAATAGAAAGACTGGTAATTGAACGTTCTATAAATTAGTTATTGGCTTGTGGGTCGAGGACCAGAACTAAGAAAAACTTTAACCTAAAATATCTTCATCCGTTGAGGCTTTCTACTTTTAAAAAGTAACACCGTTGCTGCAACATTTACCAAGAAAAGACTTGTAAGTTAATTTTGTCTATTCTTTTAGCCCAAACCACTCTTCCACAAGATCGATGCCTCCGTCGCGGATCAGTTCCGCGCAAAATACGGTGGGAACAAACAGAAGCAACCAGCTTCACACAACAAACCAAAAGACGCTACTAAGGGAAAAGAGGAGGGGAAAAAGTAGACACCCGCTAACCGCCGAGTGGATTGTTCGTGCCTTGGATGCACGCATCTCCCAAGCTTTCCCAGTTCCTCGTTTGAATGAATTACGAAAACTTTTTTGCTATTTTACATTGCAAAATAAATAGAAGTAAGCACAGAATTTAACAGAACCTGAACTTAGCAGAAATCAGAGTAATATACTGTCTAGTATAAAGCATTTTCGAGCAACATTTTTTCTTCGTTTGTGATTTCAAATATATTTTCCATTTTACTTTTAGTCTTTTAAATGTTATCGTGAAATTGTTTAGCTCCTCATTTGAAGAAGAAGAGTTAAAAAGGTAGCCTAGCCAAAGCATTCAATGGTACCACTGACCCAATACTGCTCAGTATTTCAAAAGCTCGGATATGATAAAGGGTTCTCACTTAATCTCTTATCAACGTCAGATTACCAGGCGTCTAATGTCCAATCAGTATCATTGAACTCAATTTTGTCAACCTGCCATCTTATTGCTAACATATTGCGAAATCAGTTTGTTTCTTGAATTAAGCAGTAAACTTGGTAGCTCAAGTGCATATGAATGGAATAATTACCTTAAGAGCTGATTAAAACAAAATTTAAAAATTTGACTGCTGTGATCTTTTGTAACTTTAAACCTAAAACATTCGAGTTTTAATCAGCAAAAGTTTGAGACAAACTATTTGAAAGTCATTTACAGCAGCATACGCACGCCAATCTAGGACTATAGAGTGACTCAAGTCATCCGCCCTTAGCAAAACGTGGTATTTTCACAAACACACTTGGCCCCGGTTGCTCAAAGGGTGGCTTACACTAACCACTAGATAAATCTGTATCCAGTGTACAGCGCAGTACGTTTTGTTAACGCTTAACCGCTGGATAGCTATTTATCCGTTGGTTAGCGTTATCCGCCCTGATGAAGGCCCACGGCCCAGTACCGAGTATAAACCTTGGGATAAGTGACAAGTGGTTGGTGACCAAACCGTACTACAAACGATAAAACCTTAGCCATTGTCATTTCACAGAATGAAATTACACCCAAATTCGAATTTACATGCTATATCCTATAAAACTTTAAGAAAAGACTGTTGGTGGAACAACCGGACTCCCACTTTTCCTCTCTCCTATGTATTCGGCTAAGCGCTTAATACACAGTCTACTGTTGTAAAGTAATTATACTATCAGTCAAAATCAGCCTCACTAATACATCGGCTGGTTGCCTTCCAACGATCCATACAACACCACAGTTGAAATCTGTGGCCCCACGACTACCGTTTGTGTCCAACGACGACATTTTTGTTCCTGTTTTTGACAACTTCAGCTCTTCATTCGCGGAATTCTATTTCCGTATTATCAACCCGTTCGTTGTCATCCCCACAGAGTGAAACTCACTGCTCCACTTTTTTGCCCAGATGCAGCAATGAAAGGTTTTGCTATAATCCCCGCGTCAAGTTGGGTTTATTGTTCATTGCGAGGAACAGGCAAAGCCAGACAGCAGGATAAGGACAATTGTGGGTTTTTGCACCTCACCTCAAATTATTCAACGTTTTTTTTTTCAATTATTGAATTTCTGAATTCTACAAAACAGTTTGTTGGATGTCAAAAGTTGAGCGAGGTTTTGAATTCTACTCCAAATATACTTACGGTAAGTCTTTGCAAATCCACAGGATTTGGACGCTTTTATCGTAAATTGCAAAACAGAAACCAAGAAAGAAAAAAAACTAAACAAGCACACAAACAAAGTAAAAGCCGTGCGAAATATTCTCGTGTCTAGTAAAAGTAGCTCGCTCGACTGCATGTTTTCGGTACACCTGCCATAATCCAGATTACGGCAAACAGCGAACTATCTTAAGTTCAAACCACTCATTGAATTTACTTACAAGAACTTTCCTCGCCATTTCAAACCGAGGGAAAATAGTGATCGTCGAAGGAAGCGAATAAAATTTTCCCGTGGATCATTGACTTTTCCGAAGAAAAAAATCTTTGTCCTAGTCATTCAGCTCGAGTTTGTTTGCCACGTCGGTCGGGCACTGATGTTTAGCGTCCACGCACTTTTCTACCAAGACGCTCTCTAATTGACAGGTGTCAGATCATGACAGATACTTATCAAAAACTGTTTCAAAGCTTGCTTCGAAGCCCAATAAATCACTGCTATCATTGCAGAAAGGAAAATGTTTCGGTGAATTCTCATTCTTTAATTTCCATAGCCCATCTTTTCAAAACGCCGCTACGTAGTAGGACTAGCAGAGGAAGTAGACGATGCAGCAGCTGGTGGAAACATGAAAAGACTCAACGAACCACCAAGAAATTGTCTGGCAAGTACGGGCACCCAGAGACACCAGTGAAAAAATATAAACAAAAACAGCAGCTCAACAGATGGGCAGATTATTTCGAGGAGCTACTCAACAGACCAAGTCTAGTAAAACCTTCCGCACATTCAGCCAGCAGAACACAACCTTCCTATAGACTGCAGAAAGCCAACCAAAGAGGGGGTTAAGACGCCTTTCAAGCTTCTGAGAAACGCAAACGCTTCAGGACCCGACGGAATACCAGCAGAATCAACAATACACATTTCTGTCTAATTTCTTTGCTCTAATTTATTACAGATTATTTCATCCAAACTTTTTTCTTCTCTGTCCAATCTTCTTATCCATTCATCAGAACTTTGGTTCATTCTGGACAAGTTTACCAGCTGTTCGCTTTAACTCTTAAATACCGACTTATTACTTTCACAATATCGAAAACGGTTCCCAACAAATTAGAAATCACAAACGACGGGGATTGAAAACAGAGACAAACTGAAGACACAGTTTTTGCTTTCAGGATGAATTTCAATTAACGCAATATCTAAATCGGCCTTCTTTGCATCGACAATTTGCACTCCATTGCAGATCATTACCAAATATCCAAACGCCAATCGTAGCCTTCATCTCTTTTAAATAATTCGTGTGCGGTACTTATCGAACAAAACAGACTGAGAAGATCACAACTCTCCACCAAAGCAAACAAACTTACTTTTCGCCAGGGGGAGATCCTACATCTAACCCGGCTTTGCTGTCGGAAATTTCTTGTCGACCCGTCTCTTCTGAAGACGGTTTGAGTCCCCTAATGGTCAGATCATACACGACTTCCTCGATTTTCTTCAGATCATATTTGAGTCCATCAAATTTTTTTCTAAGAGAATCATTTTTAAGGTTCAAAAGTCTGAAGCCGGCGTCTAGTTCAGCCACAAAGGCAGCTATTCGGAAAGGCCGGCCATAGTCGGCTGATGTGACACTGTTCACCGCAAACCGTGACTGGAACAAAACAAAATCAGTGAGATGGAGGGAAGACGAACTAAATGCACATTTGAAAAGTATCTGAATCAGTTATGAAAATTAAAGTAGCCTTAACAAGTTTATCAACTTTAAATTAATGTATTAAAATCATCACAGAACAGACGCTACAAAAGGAGACAACATATCAGTACATGACAATCATGAACATGAACCCTGACAGACTCTTTCTTTTGAAAGTTGTACTGAAAATTCAACTTGACTTTATATGGGATTGGTGTTTTTCAAAATATGTCTATTGTGGAGATCAACATAGTCCTATTTTCCTTTTAAATTCAAAGTGAAAATTAATAGTGTTTTATAATACATGTATTTTCCACGATGTTGCAAGCAAACTCTATATACATGTTGTGACGTTCCTTCTTCTGCTCTATCCCTTAAAATGGCAGGAATATTAATTCTACGCATATGAAAATTCAAAGGCTTTTGCCTTTTTTACGAGGTATATTTAAAAGCAGATACTTTTCCGGCTAGGCTTTTGTCGAAGAATAGCCCCTAACTCTTTAGGATGCGCTAAAAAATGAAGTGTCCCACACCAGTCAAATATAATTTTGCGAAACTTATAAGACTAACCATCTCATTAGCAAGTAGAAGAAGGCCGGTGAGAAAATCATCCAGATCGATATGAAAACCATCCGTTGTCCTGTCTACTTGAACTACAAGGACAAGCATAAACACATAATTAGCAAAGATTAATGGCTCATCCAGCCTGTGCTTATTCTGTAGCATGAAGTCGGACTAGGAGTACTTTTTCTCCACGTGGATGCAATGCCAGTCCATCGCAAGTAAAATTTAATCTTAGCTTTCTCGCATCTGCGCTCGACCTGTAAATGTCGTTTGCATGAACCATCCCCTGCAGGTCTGAATCACAGTCACCTACCTCCAAGCATTTCTGCTAATTCTAGCCGAGTGATGAGTCGTTCACTCTCCAGGTACACAATAAAACCACCAAGAAAGGCAAACCTTTGGCTAGTAAAGCGCCAGTGATCACAGAATCTGCAACGAAATTGATACTAACAAGGATAACATGTAGTGAGGGCCTATATCTAATTAACATCAGTGTTACATTTTACATTGGAGCTATCCTCTTTAAGTTTTGTTCTTATTTTAGATAAATGTGAACAGTAGCCTAAAAGCAGTGATCATGAGTGTCTTTAACTCCAAAGAATGGAATTCAAGTATGGATTGTCCTAAAATATATCACAGCAACAGCAACAACAATCCTTTATTTGTGCTCTTCAGATTTTGAGAAGAAAGATAACAAATAAATGAAAATAACAATTATATTAAAAATAACACCTATGCTAAAGAATATGCAATGTGAGTCTCAAGATGAGAAAAATCAAATGCAGTGTACCAGAGTGAGTGTCTTTCCACTATGGTTACCCTTAAATGATGCATGTGAAAAAATACACTTCATGTTGTGACAGCTGATCACAGTTGTCCTCCTAAGAAATTTCCTCTGTTTTTAATGCCATATTTCCCACAGGGCAAAGGTTAAGTCTTTACTCAATAAGCCCTGCCTGTCATATGACTGACCTGTAATACTGACCAGAAGGTATTTTCTCCACAAGATTTTTGTATTGAGACTTCACTGTAGTCAACATTTCCCTGCTTTTTGCACAAATCTTCTTTATGGCTGGATGAAAGAGTAAAATAAATCCAAAATTCTCCCTGAACTGTTGGTATACATCATTAGACTGACAATAAGATGTTAATAAACAAAAATAAATTCTTAATTTCTACAAAAAAGTATGTAACATTTACGTGTCCTTGTCACACAATACCATGTTCCAAGAATTAGTACCCATTGACTGTGCAGTGGGGCAGTAGGGGAAATATTTGGCTCTACAACAAAAAGTATCTACTGCTCACAGTGGAAGGTCCATATGTCACAACCAAGGTCTGTGAGCAGAACAGCCCTAACAAACTCTGTCAAGAGGTATTTTATCCTATGAACACCATTCCTGTCAGGTTAAATTTCACCAAAGTTCAAGTATAAATAACAAAAAAGAAATGATGCTATTCTGATCACCTTCTTCATAATAAAAGAAATATCTACTTGACAATATTGAAACAAAATAAGCAAATCAAGATACCTTCTGGGCCTGGGGATTGATGCACTGCTTGCAAAACAGCCAGTATTTCTCTTGCAGACTGTTCCAAGTCTCTAGTCACTGTTTTGATTTCCTAAAAAAGGGGAATTTGCACTCAGTGCTACAAGTTCACTAGAAAATATTTGTTTTAAAAACTGAACATTTTCATTATCTTACATGGATGTCTTATAATGTATCATCTCTGGCTTGCTAGTGGTATTTCTTTCTTAAGTCTGCAGATCATGCTAGAAACAGCTCCATGGACTCATGCATGCAAAGATACAGCTCGTGAGTAGAAAAGCTATGTTTCTGAAGTAATAGCATGAAAAAGATCATGCATGCATTTGGCATACTCTGCAGAGTGGTTGTTCAATTAAACTTGAAAAATCAAATTTCCACCCTTAACTTCTTGATATTCATGTAGTTTCCCCCTTCCCAGTTAGTTTTTTATTAACCCATGTTCTCCATAATATTACCATTTATACATTTTGCAAGGTCTGAAAGGACCTTACGAACCTCTTAAGTTGGTAGTCATTTCCTTTGTTCACGTGACCTTAATGTTTGATTTAGGGTGATAGAGTAATTTGATGCAAGTCACTGGTTAAGTTAATGGTCAAAGTGTTGTCAAAGGCAAAAAACCCAGGTCATGCGGATTCCCGATTTAGAGGCAAACTAATCTGAAAAACCACCCAAATCTTCAAAACAACAATTTTTCTGACGAGTAATTCTTTGTATTTCTATGGCAATAGGAGAAGTAAAATATATAACATATAGCCTGGAACAGCTTACAACACCAACTTTATTACTAAGCACGTGCGCATCAGTTATTGATTTGCTTTAACTTACAACACTTTTCCACAAAATAAAGTTAAACATCAAAGTTCCCTGAGACAGCGAGACCTTCGAAAAGCTTACCTCTCTTATCTCTTGGTCATTGGACAAGTATTCTTGGAATGACGCAAAGAGGGGTATAACAGTATTTCCTTCTGAGTTCATTGTCGTGTCCCTTTGTTCAGCCTCCATTTCGTTGAGTGCTCGTAATATGCTGTACAGCGGTATTCTGCCTAATTTGCTTGCCTTGCATGTGTATACACATTAGTTGCGATTTCAAAATGGCGTCCTTGCCAACCGATATGGTTTGTCAAAGTTTCATCTCCTTTTCTCGAATCTGTGACTTCATTTATTAACAAAAGACGGTTTCTGCATGATGGCAAACACGAGGCCACAAAAACTATCAACAAATAAGTCAGGAAGCAATTCGGTATGTTCTTGTTTCGGTGATATTCAAATTTGTAACATTTTACATTTAGAAGAATCTTCAAAACTGAAAAAGTCATCAATCTGTATCCATGAACTATTTTCAGTCAAGTGTGGCTCTTGCTGCTGTAGCTCTTCAAGACCATATGACTCGCTCCCTTTCCCTCCAAGATCCATTCAAGAAAAAGAAAATCAACCATAGTTTACCAACTGCATCCAAAAAGAGGACAACCAAGGCCGTTGTAAACCGTGATGCCAAAGACGATCAGGACAAGAAAGAGTATGTTCTCGATCCAAAACCACCACCCCTTACCCTAGGTATGACTGAATATTGATGTATACCACAGGTCACCCAAGCTGGCACAACCAGCCTACACAAATATGTAAATGTATTTAAATTGTGCACTTATATATAATAGGCAACATATTAACTCCTTTTAGTAAAGCAAACTAAACTGGCTTTTTTCTTCACTTCCTCTGAATTATGTGAGTTTTCTCGATTGATTTATAACTATTAGGTCTGTTTTAGTTTCCCTGCCTTGTCATTTGCCCTTTGCCCTTTGCTTTGGACAGAAACATAGGCATGTAAGAGTGTTCACAACTTTACTTGTTTACTGAGGCTCAGTGAGTAAGCTTGGATTTCCTGTGCATACTTATACTACTAGGACATTCTGAGTCCACAACAGGTGTCTTATTCACTCAAACAATATCTTATGACACTTCATGGGTAAAGCTGGTAACTAGTTTATTGTCTCTCGATGTTGGCATGGAGTTCAACCTATGCTCGTGTAAGATCACCTCAAAGCCATAAATGTATATAGCAAGGACTGGCCACTATACATGTACCTCACACCTGAGAATTACACACACTACATCATCTTTAACAAGCATGAAATGAAGTTATTCTTGAAGTGCCCCAAAAGCTGGCAATCCACAGGATTGTGCTTTTGTTAAGGTGTTACATGTACTTGCTACTGTAGCTAATTGATTTTACATTTGAATTACTGAGAACTTGTTGCTGAGTCGGCAAGAATTCCAAATAAAGTTGACATCTAGTAATGGCAACAAATTTCTTAGCTCAGAAACTTGGCCTTGTTGAGGCTCCAGGACTTCTTCTGACGGACAAAGAGTGGAAAGAGGTTAAGAAGAAATCCAATGAAAGACAAGATTCTAGTCAGCCATGTGTAATCTGCAAAGAAGACTTTGGTTTACAACAGCAGGTAATGTGTGTTATTTCCTAGGTGAACCATGCTATAATGTATTACACAGACTGTCACAGACGTACATGTTGACAATCTCATTCATACATTTATTTAATACTTATTGTAAGTTATAATTATCTTATAACTTTTCTCTTTGACAGAGTACATGTTTTACAATAATTAAGAGTCTTAGCACTTTAGAAATATAAAGGTACTCTCTGATACTAATTTATAATCAGAAGGAACAAAGGTGATAGGAAAGATGCCACAGTTTTTGAGACTATAAGTTTTGCAAGAACTATGACAAGCCAAATCTAATTGCTGAAGAGTTTGTAAGCAAACTTTTGTCTTAATTTTATATGCTCCTAAAAAATTTATTGTAGTATTTCATAGTTGTGATACACTGACTTCTTATCCCTGAAGCATTTTGGAATTTAAACCTGCTGTTTTTCTTAACCCTTTAATTCCCAGAAGTGATTAACATGAAACTTCTCCCTTTAATATCCATACATTTTTCAGCAAACAGGTAATGAGAATATTCAAACTTATCTGATAGAAGCTGTTATCTTGATCTAGCACCAAGCTCTCATAACTAATTTACAAGGAAATGTGTTGCAGCTAGAGGGGAGAATTAACAATCAGATCTTGGGAGTTAAAGAGTTAAACTTTATGCCATAGAGTTTTGCTTCATGTATGATTACTTGATGATATCTAATATAGTTGAAATGGGCAACATATTAAAAATGTACATTTTCTTGAATTTCAGGTTTTGTTGTCATGCAGTCATGTTTTTCATAGGGTAGGTTTTGAGAATATTGCAATCACATGAAGCTTTATATGAATATTATTTTTATTACACATGCAAAAACTGAGCTTGTATTTTCCTTTAAAAAATTTTGGAATGTTCATCTAAAGATACACTGAAGGTATTTCACAGAGAAAATCAAGAAAGTGTCAAAACCAGAAATATTATTTTGCAAATGTTTTTGTGAGACTCAAGGTAAAGCCAGTCAGGCATGAATAAACTACATGTTAACATCAGGTTCATGAATGTCGAAGGAATTGTAGTATACTAATATTTACCTTAATTATGCCTTTTAGACTTGTCTTGAAGCATTTGAAAAGTTTTCTGGGCGCAAATCTTGTCCCATGTGTAGAAAAGAACAGTACCAAAGAAGGATTATCCATGAAGGTGCCAAGGAGTACAGAGAGAAATGTGCAACAAAGTACTTGTTTGATCTCACATAGTAATGGCTTCAGCACCTCAGTCTTTGCATTCTGAGCAGGTTTTTAGTGACGGATTGACAGTTTGATCCCTCTGATGGTCACTTGACAAAAAATCTTTTTCAATGTGCTCACACATGACTCATCAGAATTCTAAGCAAATGGTAGAAACCAAACAACTTCTGGAGATGGTGCAAGTGCAGACACTATGGTCACTGCTGAATTCTGTTCAGAAATTCCAAATGAAGGCTTCCACAGCCGTTATTTTAGCACAAGATTTACCTTAACCTTTCAAGGTTTTCAGCACTATGATGTCCTCTGCACTCATCAATCGCCCAAAAAAACATTTTTGGAACATACTTCTCCTTTAAATTCAAATACTATGTATTGATTCGTTCATTTTACTCATTTATCACAGAAACTTGTATAATATTTATTTAACATAACCTTTTTCATTCAGTCTCAGTACTAACTGTCTTGCTTTTGATCACCAATCAGGATACAGTCTGCCTGGCGTGGCTACATTGTGCGGCAGTGGTACAAGAGGTTAAGGCAAACAGTGCCACCAAAAGACCCCAAACTTAGAAAGAAGTTTTACGAAAACAAGGTATTTACCTGTTACTTCGTGTTTTTTGGAATTTATTTAACCGAATTGTGCCATCAATAGATAGACCCCATCAGTCAGTGTTTCTCTCCCTCTAATTCACGCCAATTCATCCTTGATAGTGACGAAACAATTAAGCTACAACATTTTGCCTCACTCTCAATATGCACCTGTTTTGTTCAATTTGTCGTGCAGGGAAAATTATTTAGAATAGACAGGAACACAAAAGGCCCAGGCTGCTTTTTTCACCTTTCATTTACGCAAACAGAAGTCCGTTTATATATCAAACGGATTTTAAAATTTAGTCATTTAGGATGGTTTTTTAACGTCTCTGCAATATTCTTATTCCAGTTTCAAGATATCACCGACCGTCTCCTTCAATCAATGGAAGCTAGTAACCAGAGTGTTGATAATCTGTTGTTGGAGATCGACCAATCCATAGCCGCTAGTCGTGACACGATGAGGTATGCACACAACTCAGATGTAAAGTGCCCACCCCATCCCTCCCTTTTTTCTGCCCCCCCTCCCCCCCCCAGCTCGAACCGACTTCATATGTGGAACCTCTCGCAAACTTACCTACTTTGTTATTAATTTTACTGCTTTTAGTTTTATCTTATGGAAGGCGTTTATTAATTCCCTAGACAATTGAACGAAAACAGTGAAGACACATCAACCGAGACAGACTGGGATCAAGTCCAACTTCAAGTATGTTCAATCAGTAAAAGTGTCCGGTCTCTCTCCTGCTCGATAGAGCGTAACGGATGTCATTTTTGCCCTTTGTTGTTATTGCTGGTCAACCGCTCTCTGTTCAACCTTCAAACCCGGAGAGTGACCTGCATCTAATTTCTCGTTTCAGTAATACTACTGAATCATTCATTAAGATCATGAGAATAACGAAAGTGATCACCAACCTGAGAAGTTTTTCAAGTGTTAAGGAATTCTCTATGTCAATACCAAAGGAAATGTATCGAGAAGAATATTGATGCTGATATTAGGTTTAACGCTCGTTTTTTCCACTCTCAGGCCGTTCAGAGAAGTGTCACTGACTGTCCGATCTGTATCATGCCACTCACTGACCAAGGACTGTACCGGAAAAACTCTTCATCGCGGCCCACTGTTCTTCTGTCTTGTTCACACGTGTTCCATGCCACATGTCTGCAGGCTTTTGAAGAATTTTCCTTTGAAAAACGCCGCGTGTGTCCTGTTTGTCGGTCTTCTTACCACAAGAAGATAATGTAGAGGCCATAAAAAGGAAACTCTTTAACACAGGACGATCATAGACTCTAGGAAATAACTTGTATAACTTGGAGAGGACGTTTAGAACAATTTCTCGTATTAAATTATTTTATAGTAAACGCAGGACTTAATGTCACTTTTGAATGGTTCCCCACTATAATACTACGCAGTCAATAATAATAATAATGATAATAATAATAATAATAATAATCTGTCTTTAATAAATCAGGAACAACAAACGTGTAACTTGACAATATGAGAAAATTATAAATATAACTAAGAATATATGAAAAACTGTAACATTGTAACATTATGAAGTTCCTTATAGACGGTGAATTTAATTGAAGAAGCATTTGTTCAGGAAACAATGCTTGAAGATTCTCATTAAGTTTCCTTAAACCTCCTCTTCACGAAAAAACTCGGACCAAAAACAAAAAGAAGAGGGGGCATATATCGAAAGTTTAAAGCTTGACGGTGGACGTTACTTGTACTAGAGCAATAGCCGGGAATCGAGCCAGCTTTGTAACTTAATACTTCCAGTTCTTAGCATCGTGAGTCTCCTGAGACGGCAGGTAGAAATATATAACTAACGTAAATGTGCTAAAATAACTGACCAATTAAAAGAGTTTGTTCTTCTCGTGCGGAGAGAGACACAGAGAAGTACTGTGCAAATAAAGATAAATACTGTGCAAATTAGAGATGAAAACTGTTCATTAACTTTGTAGATGATCGATTAGTAGAAGCGGGTTTTCTTTTCCTGTAGAAAACGAAATTGTGACAAAAATAGCATGCAGTGTAGTTGAGAATCCACCGAATTAGTCTTAACGGAGATATTTCCTTTTGCCACGCTCTGTAGATTGTTTCCCTAAAAAAAAAACCATATTTATTACAATCAAAATTAATTAATTATGTATTCCACGGTCCTTGATTTCGGAAGTGTTTGTTTAGCGAATTCAATTGGCCCTTGATATTTCAATAACACCAACCAGTGCTTATTACCTTTTGTCAACTCAACTATAAAACCACGTGTTTACATAACAATGACCAACAATGCCTACCTAAGTGGTTGAATATACATCTCACCATGGCAACATCTCGCTATGTGGTTTACAAACAGTAAACGCGCTAGTTTTACAATAACGAAGTAATTGATAGAAGTACTGCAAGGTCGACGCAAAATGTCCGACGACAGACTGTTTGCGACGAGTTACAGATATGAAGTACGCAATCCGAACGCAAAGATGCTACAAAAAGCACTGACTCTGCAGAAATCGAGGATTGAGGTAAAACTATTAGGGGACAAACTAACAGTTTCTTATTCTGTGTGATATAACTGAAACTGCTCGTGTTTCTGTTAGTTTCTCTCAGAAAGGCAACTTAAATTTCTGTCAAAACTGTCTGTGATAGTGGTAGTATAGAAAAGATATATACTCCTAGATATCAGACTTTGTCATTCGGTAAGATATCGATCTATTTAAAAGTGAAATTATCTCAATTACCTGAGACTGGAAATCTAGGTCAGTTTCACCACTAATTACTGCTGTTACCTTGATTTGTTAATAGACGGATGAAAAAATCGCGCATAGAACAGAGGTTGAAAACTTGTGAGTAATTTTCAATATGTTTCCTGAATAATGTTTCCAACGCCTTGTAAGTCCTGGATTATAATTAGTCTCGTCCGAACGCTCCTTCATCCCATCGAGCATTAGTCTATCGCTCTGACGAAGGACAAACGCTCGAAACGTCAGCTTTGAAACTCTCTGTGGTGGCTAATTTACGTTATTATCTCAGTTGATAATACTTAATTACACTGCTATACTCTCCCACCGACGCAGCACCGCAGTTTCTTTAGAAACTTACCCCCTTGAAAAAAAAAGTGAACTCGGGAGTTTGTTGAGATGGAAGATTTTTAGTCGCCTTTTTCCAGAAAACGACTTTCACACACTAAACTTAATTAATTTCGCGATAGTAGCGTCGCTCACCGACACAAGACGATGAGGTTACTAAACTACTCCGTCATGGGACGTTTAGGAAAAATTAAACATGCATGTAAAAGGTTTCCTTTGAAGTGAAAGGCCCACATTGGCAGAATTTCTATATCTTGCCACATAAGCTCCGCACAGTTTCAATGCTCCAATTTTTCCTGTTTTCAGTTAGTCGTTCTCCTAACTTTACCGATATCTTTTTTAGAGTTTCAAGTGAACTGGAAAGAGCACGGTGGTTCAGTTCTCTTGAAGAGGTAAGGCAAGCCTTTGTCAGGTATATCAAACTCAATTGAATTTTTAGCAGTTATCATAAAACTTCCTATGTTCCGACCCGTTCTCTAAAAAGGGAAACGCACAGACGCTAGATATGAGTGCATTACGCGGGCCGGGGGATTGGTACTGGTTACCGGTTACTAGCTTTGTTCCTCCTTCACCTATGGATGTAAAGGATGTTCGTTTGTTGTGTGTCTTGGAAAGGTACCTGAGGGGAAGGGTGGGGGAAAAGGTCGTTGTAGTAATGTAAAGCACTGCACCTCACACCCCAACCCGAGATTTAAAATCAAGTAGCAAAGCTTCAGAAATTCAATATTTAAACGAGGGAGTAGGGAAAAGCGAGCTGAAAACGAAGTTGGGAAAACAGTCCACAACTTTCTCCAATCTTTCCGCCTCTTCTTTCGTATTATTCCTACTCCTGCAATTGCACCGTAGTTTGTGGTTGAGTGTACATCCAAAAAAAGGAAAATGTTTCTCAAGTTACGAGTTGCTTTACATTCACACCCTGTCACACTCTGTTCACGGGTTATTCACTGCTAGCTAGCTTTCCGCTCTTGAAAAAGGAACATTTGATCACAGGTGCTCCAAAAAGTGAAAAAAAAACTTCCTTAACTGACGTAATCTGTTGTAGGACAGTGAAAAGCGGCGCCAGAAAAGAGAAAAAGAGCTTGCCGACGATGAACTAAAGATGGCCAACGAACAATTCATAAAAGTATGTTTCTACATTGTTGTGTGAACTGCAAGAAAAAAAATTCCTTTCTCGCTCACATGCTGTCGCCAACTTAACGATTTCTTGCTTTTTCGTTTTCCGAAAAGTATGCCACTGAAACATATAGTGTGTGTTTCACGGTACGTATGGTCCTTTTTAAACCAGTTAACCCCTTAGAATGGTTAGTTAAATAATCACCAACTTAAAAAAACCTTAGTTCTCAGACAAATTATCCTATATAGTACCACAGAAAACTCCCAGAGCACGGAATGGACAACATGCACACCTATATTCAAATAGTAAAGCTGCTTCTGGCGAATGAGCTCCAGCCCTCTGCCGTGATTATTTTGAACTTCTCGTCTCGTTTACTTATTTTTCGCTGATTCAGTCATCTCGTTTCTTTGATTGAATGTTTGATGTATCTCTTCTCTTCCACAGATTCGCCGTGCTCGACTTAAAAAGTTGTTAACAGAGGAAAATATCCAATACGAGAAAGAGCTCAATGATTTCGGAAAAGCGTTCTACAAGAAAAGAATTTAAGCCAACATTAGCGTTGTTAAAAAGATTCCGCGCACCTTTGGCTTATAAGTTAGATCTATCATCAATCGTCTTATTACTACATGTTATTATATCATTAGATAGCTTCAAAGTAAATAACCGAGATTTTTTCCTCAAACCCGTAAGACGAAAAAGAACTAGAGAATTATGGTTTATTGAGAATCTTAACGGTCAAATCCAGAGGTCAACATATCTCCGAAGGGCTTCCTTGCGAAAAGACTATTAACCGACTGTTCCTCCCCCATCAAAGAGCGACATCTCCTCAATATGCAACAAGAAGCGGACGAAAGGTTATTTCTCTGGCGTGAAGTGTGACCCAGCCCCTTCTCGTCATTCCACACTATGTGTTTGCCCATCCCCCTCCTCCCTTACGTTATTAGGACCGTGCGGAAAAAAATAATACCGTCGTAATCGATTGAGAATGGCTTCTTTACCTGACTTTCGCTGCAGGTTGTGTTACATGATTGCATGATTGACAGCCAGATTTCCTTCTGCTGCTGATTAGACAGATCAATATCAGTATCTGGGCAACTGCCCACCTACCCCTCCCCTAACCCAACATTAACCTTAAGTTCTTGACAATTGACTGTTGTTGAGTTAGGGGAGGGGTAGGTGGGCAGTTGCCCAGATACTGATATTGATCCGATTTGACAAAGTCCCCATGAATAGTGGATTGTCGAGTGTCAAATGCATTGGGCAGGGGAGGGGAGGGAAGGGGGGTAGTACAACTGATGCTTGAGCAGACCACTCTGCACCACTGATGCATTGAGACGCAGCAGAGGAGATAGCAAGGTCTGCAAACATGGGCATATGCAGTGTTATGAGTATTAGTAGATACCACACTAATAAATAATGCTTTTCACACACCCTGATCGGCTAGTTTGGAGGTGAATAACAAGCACTTTTCACCTCCAAGCTGAAGATAAGACAAAATTGGGCATAAGGAGTATAATTTCTGATCATTTTTCTTGTAAAGGAAAGAAATAAACTGATATTTTACATATTATATTTTTTACAATCTTTATTTACCTTGTTGGTCTGCCCATTTTAATGTCTCCAACATACCAACTTAATTGTCTTTTAAACAAAACATGATTTTACAATCTAAAAGTTTTTTTATTTTTCCTGGTACAGTTGGTTTAACCATGTTGGTATTTTTCTGTTTCCAAACTTCCTTGTACTTAATAAGTACCAAAAATTGAAAATATTCCTCAATAGATCAACCAAATCTCTGGGTACTTTGTACCTTCCATCATGCATTTAAGTGACCAAAAAAGAAAAAAAATCAAAATACTTGCCCATAGATTAACTCTACCAAGTCGTTTTATGTAGAAACTCAATTTACAACTTTTCAACCTAAGGTATTCGTGAAATATAGAAAAATATGTATTAATATACAAATACATATTTGTTTTCAAATTCACTTGTACTTAGTAAGTATCAAAAACTAAAAATATTCCTAAAAATATCAACCAAATCTCTGGGTACTTTGCACCTTCCATCATACGTCTTAGTGACCCAAAAGAAAAAAATTTTAAATTTTTTCCCATGGGTTGACTCTACCAAGTTGTTCTATGTGAAAACTAAATTTTCAACTTTTCCACCCTAAGATCTTTATCAAATATTGAGAAATATATTGTAATGTATATAAATACTTTTAACCACTCAAAAATGATCAAGCAGCTTCTGAGTGGAAGACAGTAGACTATGAGCAATCCTTCTTTTTCCCTTCTTTATGGTAAAAGAAAAAAAAAAAAGAAAAAAATTTAAGGCATGCACCTCACTTCCAAAGTTCCAAGTGCTGTCCCAACATCAATTATTTGCACAACGGATTTCCCAAAAAGGAGGAACTGATTATAGTTTAGGATGGTGGTGGTGGTTCATTCAATCAGTGTCCACATCAAGCCTTCGATATTGACTCTTATATGCTAGAAGCAGAGGAACACAAACTGCAATGCCACCTACACTAACCCAGTTCATCCATTGGACATTAGACATGGGAAACATGAAGGCTGCATCAAACACAAATATCACTGTATTAGCCAGAACAAGGCCTATGCCGGCAGATGTCCCCTCCCCCACAGGGTAAACACACTCCATAATAAGCTCAAACAGAAGTGGAATTGTGCAGTTAAAAAACAACCCACTGCAGATAATTGAAGCAAATAAAAGCTCCTGGGAAAAGGGCAAGATTTGAGAACAGGTCAGAGTGAAGATCAGCTGCATTATAGTAGTGCCAGTGAAAAGACCCACAAGGATTTCCTTAGTCCACCGCTTTATGATATCTGCTGACCTGACAACAAAGGAAAGAGACTTGTGACAAAAGATAACCAATTGTAATAATTAACTTCTTTGTTACCGACTTAGTTACTACCCAAGAGCCGTACAAAAATGACCAAGGGCCAATATTACCATGTACAGCTAGAGCAAACAAGATTAAAGGAAGTATCTAATTATATGACATGAGTAGCAAACTTGTTTCTTTTGAATTTTCTGGCTTTTATCAACAAATGTAGAAGGCTTATGACTGTTTCCTGGCTTATATTTGGTCCCAATGAAAAAATCCCAACCGAGTAAAAACCAATCAGAATGTTCAGATTCACCTCAGGACTCTCTTGCCATATAATTATAAGCAATATAAACCTTTGGGTTAACTCCCAGAAGTGATTAACATGTAACTTCTCCCTATGATATCCATGTGTATTCTAGCAAACAGTTAATGAGAATACTAAAACTCATCAGGAAGAAGTTTTTATCTTGATCCTACACCATATTCTTGTAACTAATTCACAGGGAATTGTGTAGCAGCAAGAGGGGAGAATTAACAATCAGACCTTGGAGTTAGAGGGTTAAACATAAAGAGATTCCAACCCTCCTGTTGTACCATTAAAAAAGTGATAAGGGGTGAAAATCTTCAAGGGAGTGCAAGATTTCTTTCCTTTATCTACCTAAGATTAAAAATATTTCTTCAAAATTTACTAGGACTTTTTTTTTGCTTTTACTCTACCGGCCTTCCACCCCTTCCCACCCCGATCACACTTGCTACTGGTTCTATCCCTTACCATATGGTATTTGAACCTAGTCTAATGCAAGTCTCTTACTGAGAGGATGCATGGCAGCATGGAATGTAAATTTTGTTATATGCTCAACTCATAATGTCATAATGTAGTGTTTTAACAGGTTATAAGGGCTTTTCCTGAAATGTGTCTTTTTGTTTACATGTTGAGAAAGAAAATGCACAGTGACATGGACAATCTTTGTAGTTTGTGGAAAATGCAGTACAAGGAAACATGTAACAGTGAATGTGGTGTGGTAAGGTTGAAAGGATTGAGATTAGCAAATAGCAGAACCAGAATAACCTGTAAATAATAAAATATAACCTTACAAAAACAAGGTTTTTACCTTGCAATAATAATTCCAGAAACAATTCCAGCTAAACTTCCACCAGTTCCCAGCAATCCAGAAGTTTTCTCATCAATTTTAAAAGGCTGAACAGCAAGGTCTAAAACTGATGACCAACCAAAATAGATGCCAAATGATGCTGCAAAAACAAAGATCAACAACCAATAGGACCAATTGGTTATCAGCATTTTAATTCCTTCTACATATCCAATTTTGGTTTGTTTTCTTGTTAATTGTGTTATACTCGGAGGAAGAGGTGGCTTAGAAGGAAAATAGATGGTAACACACAAAAAAAGAAATGCTGCAATTCCAATCTGTACATAGAAGTAATCCATGAGTCTGCCCTCAATGAACTTAACATCCTTGTCTGTCAAATTATACTTGTTACCCTCAAAGGTATCATTTGTCTCAGGTATCATTGTGGGTCCAATAAAGAAAGCCAGGGCAGCTCCAAAATTAGCGGCCAGGGTACCAATGGCTGTAGCAGTTGTGCGTTCACTTGGAGGAAACCAAGTTGTTGACACCAAGGGTGGGGCTCCATTTGGTATAAAGCTTGGCAGCATTGCTATAAGATGGCCAATGAAAATTACAACAGTTCTTACTGTGAGGTCACGAAAAGGAATCACTTGAATTACTTTGCCAACCAGAAGCATTGTAGATGTGACCTGAACAGATAACCTTAAACCTGCAAAGAAGGAAGACATAATAACAGTCAAATTTAATAAAATCATGAATTAACAGAAATCCATTTGGAGGAATGTGCTTCTTGCAAGGCTCAACCCTTTGACCTGACTTAGAGTGACTGGCACCTAATTTCTCCTTTTAATATTATCACCCCCTAATCATACATTAAGGTCACAAGAATATAAGGAAAATTGATCACCAACTAAAGAAGCTCTCTATTTAACAAATAGATTCCAAGTTGCCGTGCATCTCTTCAGTAATAGATCACAGATGACGCCAAAATGTGGTAAGAACAAAAAAGTGGCACACGAGGCACAGCCGAGTGTGTCACTGATGTTCTTACCACATTTTGACGTCCTCTGTGATCTAATACTGAACAGACACATGGCAACTTGGAATCTATTTTTATTATATAATAAAGAATTAAAAAAAAGTTTCAATGATGATGTCATCTATAAATCTGTCCTCCAATAGATCATAAGTGAGAACCAATCAGAATGCATGCATAACTGAGCTTATTACCCTTGCGAACTGAATTCCCAGTTTTCTGGGAATTCCTAGGAATTCCTAGGAATTCCTAGGAATTCCTAGGAATTCTCAAAAATTCCCAATTATGCAAATGACCCTTGCAAACTGAATTCCCAGTTTTCTGGGAATTTCTGGGAATTCCTAGGAATTCTCAAAAATTCCCAACTATGCAAATTAACTCTGATTTAAAAAGCTTGGAATTACTGGGAATTTCTGGGAAAGGAAGACTCCAGTTTTGTGAGGACTTGGAATCCCTTGGAATTCCTAGGAATTCTCAGCTTTACAAACTACCTATAATTTAAGAAGTGTGGAACTCTTGGGAATTTCTGGGAATTGAATTTGAAGCAATTTTAATACCCTGAGGTCCACATAAATTCTAAGAAATTCTCAATACCTTGAATGTGAACGTTTTAAGAAAAAGAGTAATTTCAGAGGCTTAAAACTTTGGCTCAATAAAAGGTATGCTATACAAAACGTACCAAGAGATATACATACATGTACATGTTTACAACTTAAAGATCATGAAATTTATTACTCAAACTAAGTTTTAGTAAATCTTTACATTAATATGGATTTTCTCATGAACCAGCTGTCAGTTATGTTAAATGGAAATTGCCAACTTCCACAATAATTAACAATAATTACATTGTTATCTTACTTCCCTAACCTACATTACTGGTTGCCTTTGTTAGAAAACCTTGGAACAGTCAAGCTCAGTTGCCTCAAACGCTGTCAGAGACTTTTTGTTGACAATACTTTTAGTAGAAATTTCATGCCTTAGACAAACAAATTCAACACCTAATTAATCTTTCTTTTTTCATGATTGTTGTTGCTGCTTTTTTTCAGTTTTTTGCTCTATTTTCATGACTAATTGCTGTAATTTGTTTTGCTGTTTTTATTCTTACAAAACATTTTTGTAAGAGTTCCAATACTTGTGGATCATCCACACACTTTGCAAACATTTGGCATGCAGACAAGACAGAGGTAGTCAATGTTCCCTTTGAGGAAAAACACCTTTTATATGACGTCTTCAATTTACTTTATTTGAAACTCTGATCTGAAAATATTTGTCAACAAGACTTGTTAGTAGTGAGAAGTACCAACCAAGTTTCCTTTCATAACTTAATTTCTTAAATGTCCCAATCACTGGATCTCCCAAAAAAATATTACATCTTTTTATTTTTGGTGCAAATTACAAGTCCTTCTTTATATAAAAATGAAAAGTGCTAGTCACACTTCAATAATAACAGCTCTTAAGTTTACTTGTTGTTCTTCTCTGTCTGTCAGCTATCAACAAAATTGTTTTATACAGTGCATAACTATTTATGGACCAGAGTTCCAACGCACCTCTGTAATCGCATATAGCTACTCCTGTCTCTTGTACAAATGTTTCTCCTTTGTAAGACGCACTCTACTCTGTTGTCAATACTGCTTTAAGTTCAGTGGAAACGACTGACTGAGGAATCGAGATGGCGGTGTTGGAACGTGTTGCTGAACGCTTGCTACGGTCAAGCTTTGTAGATTTAGGTACTGATACACTGGGATCATCTATGTATCTCTTATACTTCCGAATGTGTTATCCTTCTTTTATAAATATGAGGGTAAAAGACGATTTGTAGTCGCATTCAAAACTGTGATTAGCTTGTGTTATTTCTCACCTTTGCCATTAACACAACTCAAGTGAGTTTCGAGTCTTTGTTTCCTCGACAACTTTCGGCCACAAATCGTGCATTTGTAATACGATCGATTCTTGTCGATTATTTCTACATAGAGTGAGCTCACATCTTTATTTATATCACCAAGCTATCCATCTTCTAGAAGCAGAGAACCGGTCGGAGAAGTCAGAATAAAGTTGTGCGCTTATCTTAACACTGCAATCGGCAAGCCAGCGGATTCACTTTGCTAGCCAATGACAAGTCTAAAAGATCCACGTGATCATGCCCGTGATCGGAAACAAAGAAGACTCCATTTGGCGCTCATCTTTGAATGTACTTTTCGTCGGTTGATCGCTTTTCTCAACTGTTTTGCTTAATATAACATTTCTAAAGATAGCTATTATTGTGGTTCAATGGGAAAACGAGAATAGCGTGAGTGTTGTAAAAGAGAAGAAAGTCGTTGGCGCCGTGGAGTTAAAAGAAGGGACAACAGTTGACATATGGACTGGTACAAACAAGGGTCGAGTGGCCATCTGTAAAGCTACGATTTTGAAAGTTTGTGGTGAGTAAAATTGCGATATTCGTTACGAGATCAAAATCTTATAAAATAATAGATGTAGCGGGTTGAATTAAACTTACATAACGCTCGGCGCAACTGAAACTAGAATAATTCTGAGAATCGAATCGGTCACTTGCATGCCGCAGTTTCTTAAGCTTATGCTTTACAATGAAATAAACCTATCAGCAAGGTTTCAAGATTCCTCTAGTCACGTTTGGGAACATTCAAGATTCATAACAAACCTTAGTACATAAAGAAGCCCTCCTTGGTAAAAACAAAATAATGTATTCAGCCCTTTTTTAGTAAAATCCATGAGAGAGATGTACTAACTCCAATATAAAAGTCACTCAATATAACAGAGATTTCTCAATTTGAGAATCCAATGAATGCCCTTTTCCTCATAGCCATCTTAAAAGCCTGGTCTGAGCTTTAAACATACATATTTTAATATATATTTTTTTTTTCAAATTCAGATGTCAAGGAATCCAGATACAAAATGGTCAAGGTTCTTGTTGACAACCTCATTCAAGGCCAACTCATCGTGAGCCCAGGAAAAAAAAAAAAATACAAACAGTACAAACAGCAGCTAAGTTTGCAGTTTAGGATAACTTCATTCTAATTTATTGTTACAGTTACAACAAGATTTTAATCAAAAAAATCAATTTTATTTGTCTGTAATTAGCCCCTTCACTCCCAAGAATATAACTATATAAATAGAACTTAAGATATTGTATTTTATGGAAGAGAATCAACAGATTTTATTCACAATTTGTGTCAAACCAAATTTAATGATTGATTAGAACTATTTTATATGAATAGCTGTAATTGAGGATTAATCCGTATGAAGTTTTCAAGGAAAGAAAAATAAATCAAATTCCATCCTAATATTACCACACATTGATGTTAGTAATTAATCAAAAAAAATATTTTACATGTAAGCCTTAATTAAGCTTCTAAATAAATTTCATTGAATACTTGAATTTTAGCTGGGTTTTTTTTAATTTAAAGTATTTATTTTATATCATTAGCCTCAAATTTTTGCTTAAAATTCCCAGTAATTCTTAAACATTCCTAAAAATTCCCAGAAGTTCCCAGAAATTCCCAGAAATTCCTAGGAATTTTTTAGATTTACAACTTTTCAGGGAAAGTCATTGGTTCTCTGAGTTGGAATTCTAGAATTCCTAGGAATTCAAGTCCTGTTGGCTATAAACTTGGAATCTCTGGGAATTTCTGGGAATTTCTGGGAATTTCTGGGAATTTAATTTCTGGGAATTTCTGGGAATTTCTAGGAATTTCTAGGTTTTAGAACCAGAGTTGTTATGGTTGGGAATTCCTAGGAATTCCTAGGAATTCCTAGGAATTCCCAGTCCGAATTTACCGTGAAAATTCACACCTTTATTCCTAGGAATTCCTAGGAATTCCAAGTGCCATTTCGCAAGGGTATATAAAATAAAACACATTCTCATTGTCAGCACCTTAAGAAATGTATATAGAAAAGTAAGGAGAATATGTATACTGATGTTAGGGTGTAAAGGGTTTAAGAACTGCTAAAAAATAAATGTAACACTTAAGGTAAAGGGACAAATTTTCTACAATGAAAATAATTTGTGGAGAGTTGAGAGAGAGGACCTGAAATGGTCTAGGCCCCCTTTTTTTTAAGCCTGTCAACTTCTCATTCAACATTAGTCCAATTAGGTTCTTTTGTACAGAAAATGTCAATGAATACATGGATGACTTGGAGCCCAGGGTTGAGAATCAATAAAATCCTCATCTGATCAAAATGAATAAATATGAAGGTTTTCTTCTATTGAATTTTTTAAATGCATGTTATTTATGGAGCAAAATACCTTTCGTATCCATCAGCCACGTTGAAGGGAAAGCACCCATGATAGGACCGATCGCTCCCAGCGATGACAGCAAGAGAACTGTCCATTTTTCCCAACCGAACACAAGCCGACATGATCTTTGGATAGGACCCCAAGTGTTCCACATCATGTTCGATACCATCGAGGTTACCGTGAACACGAACAGCACATACCATCGCCTTTTGTATACTTTGCATGTTCTTTCGTTCGATGATGATATTTCTTTGTTTTCAACATCTGTCTGCCTATCAGGACTGACAATATCATCATCGTGCAAAGGCTTCCTGCTTTCGCTGTCCTCCATTTTTGGACACCCGGTGAGAATCTCGTTCCTGGAGGCCACGCTCCCCTGATCCCACGCAGGGTATCCTCGAGTTTTGTTTTGAGTAACCGCTAGGTCCCAAAACGCTCTAAGTGAATGAAGTAGGAGACTGGGGCAAGTAACATGGCATCAGTATTTTATTTATCGTGAACTGAAAATATTTGCTTGCAGACGTTGGAAAATTGTCCAAAGTTAATTCTCTTGAGGTTGGTGAAGAAGAGTGTTCATTTGCTGTGAAGCATCATGGAAAGAGCGATCAGTCAGCAGTTTCAAGTGAGTTGCTTCGCGAATAAACAGTCCATCCGATCGTTCTGAGACACGAACAGAAGGAGAATTTTTTCACTTGTGGGAATTTAAATATTCTTCCCTTGGAGTTAAATAATTGGAAGTGATTGATGGCAACCACAGAGAGCGGCCATGCAGGCTATGCAGACAGAAGATCCAGATGATATCAAGTACAAGTACATGGAGGTCATTTTGTTTACAGGTTAGTTAAGCCTGTTAGTTTTATATCTGTACAGAAGATTTTGTTATGAAATACAAAGCAACATTTTGTTTATTTATTTATTTATTTACTCAGTTATTTTAATCAATATTATTACTTTCACACTCTTTTGTAACCCTTCCAAGTTGTTAAGCTTTACATCTGATCAAAAAAGTATAGATCATTTTACAGAGATGCTGAAGAAAGACGTGCCAAAAAACATTATTCTCTTAACCTTCTAACCCCTAAGAGTGACTACCATCTAATTTCTCATTACAATATCACCCCTGAATGAAAAGGTTAGGTCATGAGAATAATGGAAATGGTCACCAACAAGATAAGCTGTGGATTATGAAACAAATTCTCCTCATCAGCACCCAAGGGAATGTATAGGGAACAGTATGGAGAATATGCATACTGATGTTAGGGTGGAAGGGGTTAATTTGTAATACAACCAATTTATATAGCCAGAGTGTAATTAATCATTTCTGTTATATTTTGTAATGTTATGCTGTGCCATTTGATTTTGAATAATGAATTTAGGGTACAGAAGACAACTGAATAGAGGCATTACTGCAGTTCAGTTATAAATTCAAAGGTGAACTTAATCAACTTATATTGATAAGGGATAAGTGATAAAAGCATCTAATACTGCTATCCTTTGTAGGAGTCTCTTGAATATCTTACTCAGCAGGCTAGAGGAGCCAGTCTCCTGCTGACATTAGAATGAGTCTCCTGACATACCAAAAATTTGACATAAGAGTCCAGACAAGCAGCATCTCTCAGTCCAAAAAGTTGCTTTCTGCTACAGCCAAGCATCATTGCATCCAAGTTCAAGTGCCTAAGGGGACTGGACACTAAACGGTTAGCAGAGCTAGTAAGTAAGTAAAGTAAGAGCTAGCAAGTAAACTCTTTACTTAAAGAGGATAGCACTTAATAGCCAAAAGGTTAATAAACTTGTGGCCCTCATACAATACTTATGATAATATAAATATAGATATCACTATGTAAAAATAGATACGTTATTATAGAAATAGAGACAGATATGTCAAGGCAGATATGTGGCCTGAACACAAGACTTAAGATGACTTACTACTTAATTGTTGCAAGAGAAAGAGATGAGCTCCCTACACAAACTCTGGAGGAATGTGCCCTGGCAGAGAAGGCCTGGAGTAGAATGTCTGCCAAAGGTAACTCTTTATTTGCGATTGTAATTCAGTTTTGAAACTTTCCAATTTCCATTTTGTGTTAAGTCCTTAACCCTTTAACTCCCAAGATCTCATTAGTAATTCTCCTTACTGTCTGTTATACAGTTCTTGTGATGTTAGTTTAGGGAATTTGGTATTGGATCACCTTATAATCCCCTAATTGATATATTTCTTTATTTTCATCACTTGTATTGATATTGTAAGGAGAAATTCAGTCTTGGTCTCTCATGGGAGTTAAAGGTTTATTAGGAATAAGGAGCAGGGCTCAGTATGGCATGATATATTCTTTGAATGTTTAAATTTTTGGTGAACAGCTGGGGTTGGACAGACGGACGTCGTCTAAAAGACTTCTGTCATTTTTGTTGGCCCATCATCAAAAAGTGCCATGCACCAATTGGTTCGTGGCTGACAATGAGGCGGACTTTATGCAGCACGTCATGAAGCTTTCGTGCCTCCAAGAGGGATTATATTAGAGTTTGGAAACTCATATATTCAAGTTATGTATTTTCTGTGCCATAGTGCGGTTACTAAATTCCTGAAGGAATTGAGACATAGCTACTAAGTCACAGTTATCTCCAGTTAAAACAACTTTTAGGAATGTCAATGGGTAATAACTGGTTTGTTTCTTGTTTTTATGTGTTTCAGTAAATTCCTGCCTAAAACCATCCGTTCAACTTAACATAAATTCGTTATCCGTATATGATAACGAGAGGCCTGTTTCTTGTTTTAGGAGAGAAGCTGTAGCCGTGAGCCGTTTGGCATGTGAGGGATCAGGGTCCAAAGATAACGACGGGTATACATATTTCCTAGCAAGACGAGTTGTACCGGATGGAGATTTATGATCACTTCGTCGAAAGACTTGTTTAAGTGAAAGTTTTGAATTTATCAAAATATCTTTAGGGTTTCAATGGGGTTAACCGTTAGCCGTAAAAAGGCCAACAAATTTAGACGTCATGCAAAAAGATTGACAAATTTTTATCGTCCGTTCTTTGGGAAGAAATTTAACGTGAGCCGTATGATGGAACAAAAATGTAACGGTTAGCCGTAGAAGCCATCACCCTATTGAGACACTTACCAAATAATGTTTGATACTTTTTGTTGCACACATGAATATCAGAAGAGTATAACAAAGACACTCCCACGGACCCACTTTAGCGTAAAATGTTTGTAATTATTTCGTAGAAGTGATTGAGTACTTAATGGAAATTTCCACGTATCCGCGTTTAAATTGTTCAAAAATGTTTGAAGCAACTTTTTAGTACGGGTAAATGAGTATTACATGGATATTTCCATGTCCCCGTTTTGATCAAGAATGTTTGAAACTACCTACTGTTTTTCGCGCATAAATGAGTATTACATGAATATTTCCATGTACCCGTTTTGATTAAAAAATTTTTGATACTGTTTTGTGTACGTGAATGAGCATCATGTGCACATGGAAAATTCCATGGACTCGTTTTGGCCAAGGGTGTTTGAAACGATTTTTTACGCGTAAATGGTTTTACATGGAAATTACCATGGATCTTTTTGGTGAGGCACTATTATATTGAGATCGTAAATACCGCTGACAAGTTTTCCTCTCTCAAAAATTCATCGACTTTTTAATACCTTAGTTGACCATTTGAGAGGTGTATGTGCTGCAGTTTGCGCAAGTTATCTTAATATTAGAGAGAAGTTCACCACCTATAACTGGAAAAGTGGACGCTACCACACTCATTTTTTGCTGTTAAGCAACAGGTTTTGAAACAACAGGTTTTTCGAACCAAGCTGAAATAAACATAATACGTGATGGTCGATTGAATCACTGAAATCGTTGATTGAGCCTTAAGTCTTCGTTCATGGTCTGCCGATTGGTGACTTTTACAGTTTTTTGCTCTTACATTATCAATTCTACCATAGTAAAGTTTGACTGTTTTTTCAGATTTGTTACTTCAGAAAATCTGTACTTAAAAAATTACGTGTTTTGGGGAAATAAAACGATGAAGGAAATTTTGGGCCATATTATATTGTTCAAGAGTGTCTTTCTGCAACAGAGGTAACAGTCAAAGGAAGTTTTAATGTCAGAGATGAAACAGCTGCTCTTTAATCAAATCGTACTTAACAGAGAAATAGTCAAAATAGGTGATTATCGATCTGTGGCACACTTTGATCTTTTTCAAGTGGTTGAGGTAACTTTTCGCCCCGTTACAAAAAAAACTGCACTGTCACTAGTGGACACCGAAAGAAAGGCCGGTATTGTTCTAGCCATTGGCTTCCTCGGCCGTTAAATGAAACGTTCACATCTCTTTGCCTCCATTGGCACAGGGCTTTGAGGACAGCATTTTACGTAATATTTCGGTCACACGTCTTCTGTGCATGCTTTCTGCTTATATTTGTTCAAAACTTTGAGCAAACTTCGTTTGAATCTGTAGACAGGGTTTGTTTTGCGTCATTACAAGTTATGGAGGGTACATTCTTGTTCTATCATAAGCTGAAATGAAGTTGACATTAAGTTTCGTGGTTACAAGTAGATCGTAGGTGAACTCAACTGACAGGGATAGATTAAAGGTATCGTCGGACTGTGTTTCTGTCGTAAAAACTCAGTTTTGGTAGGATTGCTTGCTCACCACTGGAGGAAGAAAAGAAAGTTTTTTTACATCAATTTTGCAGAAGGGGCTTGGCGAAATCGTCATTTACATTTGAACCTTTTGTCGATCGGGACCCGAAGAGTCTCAGTGTTCGAGATCGTCTTTGCTTTGTATCTTTTCCTTTGATGTCTTCGTCCCAAGCGTGTCTGTCGCTCAACTCAAAATTGACCTTATACTTCCTGAACATCATTCCTTTTTTCTTTTTGGGAAACTCTTTTGCGGCACCGTCTTTCGGGTCTTGCACTCCTTCGCTTTGAGGGTTGCCACAAGAGATCTCACAATTCTCTTTGACGATATCCAAGTCGCTGAAATCGAAGAAAGTATTTCTTTCCAAGAAATAAGTACCCTTTAGGTTTTCAACTTTGTTTTTCTTCAAAGGGTGCGTTCTGACCCAATTATTTGCTCTCTGAACTGTGTTCATCCACAGGCCGTGAAGAAAGAGCTGGAAAAGAAGCGACGCTCTGTGTAAATCATCCGCCATGCTCATTCGTTTTTACTCAGTGCTGAATACGTCGTGCATGCGTAACAAACGTATTTTCATGACGTACCAGCAAATAAACGATTTACTGCGCGTGCATGTATGGGCCTCGCGCTGAAAAGAGGAATTCCAGTCTCGAGTATCTCTTTAAGCAATAGACCGCACTTTCCTTCCGTTTGCCATCGTAATAGCCCACGCAAGATGTTTTGAGAACACGAGAAAAGTTTTTAAATCATACGTAAGCCAAAGGTAAGTGATTTTAAAAGA